GAGGTTGGGGGGGAGGACAGCTCGGCACAGACCCTGGGGCGGCCGCTGAGGTTGGGGGCTTGGTAACGGCTGGACTGTCCGGATGCACGTTTCCCACGGGGTCTCTGAGGCGGAGGCGCCCGCGGGGTTGGAAGTCGGCTGGTCCGCAGCCCGGGGTCCTGGGGTGGGGGGTGCAGAGCTGTCCCAGTGCTGACCTGAGTCTCATCTGATGAAGCTGCTGCTTTTGTGCGCCCCCACGGCCACAGGACACTCAGACGTGGGGGGTTCGGGGGGGGGGAAGTGAATGGGCTTAGCCGTCCGAACAGGCTGCTGGGGAGGAGGGGAGGGCTGCCACGCGCTGTGGCGGCCTGGGGGGGCCTGGTACAGCCTCCCCTCGGCTCAGGGAGGTTGGGGCTCTGCCTCCCGTTTCTGTGCGGGGGGGGGGGGGGCCCTTCCTGGCTGGGTCCTCCGGCTCTGTGTGAGGGTCTCCAGCGCGACCCCCCCAACCATAGCCCAGACTCGGGGTGATGGCTTGGCACACCCACATCTTTATCTTCAGATTTTCAGTTTTTGAGGATGATGCCGATTATGTTTAGGGATGTTATAATTCTAAAACAGCCTGAAAGGACCATAAAGAGCCTAAAAGCCAGACACGCCCTGGCTGGTGTGGTTCAGTGGGTTGATGCTCTGAAGGGTTAGGGTTCAGCTTCCTGTCAGGGCACATCCCCAGGTTGGGGGTTCGATCCCCAGTTGGGGTGTGTGTGGGTTCATCTATGTTTCTCTCTCACATTGCCATCTCTCTCCCTCTCTCCTCTCCTTTCTCTAAGATCAATAAAAACACAATGTCAGATGCATGTAAGAATGCCCATGCGGCCGAGGCCAGTTTGGCTCAGTGGGTAGAGCGTCCGCCTGTGGACTGTAGGGTCCCGGGTTAGATTCTGGTCAAGGGCATGTACCTTGGTTGCAGGCACATCCCCAGTGGGGGGTGGGCAGGGGGCAGCTGATCGATGTTTCTAGCTCTCTGTCCCTCTCCCTTCCTCTTTGTGGAAAATCAATAAAATATATTTTTTTTTAAAAAAGGGGAAAAAAAGAATGCCCATGTGCATAGTAACGTATTCGTAGCGTCCAGAAGCCCGTCCCCAGGGACTGGGCGGGTTCGGGTAGTCACTCAGCCTCGGACGAGCTGAGACATGGGGCTCGGGGTCGGGAGCCAGGTACATGTGTGCTTCTGCGTGCACAAAACACGAAACACCAGAACAGGCGAGTCCAGAGGCAGACGGGGCGGGAGGAGGGGAAGCAGCCAGGCTGGGGTCTCCTTTGGGCCAGGAAAGGTTCTGGAACTGGAGAGAGGCAGGGGACCACGGTGCGACCATCCCGGTGTCACCGGCCTGCACCCTCCACAATGGCTAATGGGCCCGGTCTGCGTGGCTGAGCATCCGCCTACGAACCAGGAAGTCAGGGTTCGATTCCCGGTCAGGGCACCCCCGGTTGTGGGTCTCCATCCCCCGTGGGGGGCGTGCAGGAGGCAGCCCATCAGTGATCCTCCCTCATCATGGATGCTTCTATCTCCCTCGCCCACTCTGAAATCAATAAAAGGACATATTTTAAAAATGGTTAGTTGTACGTTGCGTGAATTTCACCGCAGGAAACAAAAGGGTTAGCATGGGGGGGTCTTTGGAGGTCCCGGGGAGGGGACGCCCTGGGCTGAGCAGAAAGACACGTCTCTCCCGGGGCTGGTGCTAGGGGCCAGCCCGAGTCCACAGGCCCCGTTCCCTGGACCGCAGGGCCCGGCCACACTCAGATGCTGCCTCCGGGTGGGTGGTGGACGGGATCTGAGTCCTGGGTCACTGCCGTGTGGCCCTGGGTGAGGGGTGGGTGTGGGTGGCAGGGACTCTGGGGCCCAGCTGGCTCGGTTGAGCTCTGGTGGGTGGGTTCGAGGCCCACTCACACCCACTCGGCTGTGCCCTGGATGGCAGCCAGGAGGGCCCACACCAGCTTGCTGCCCTGCGGGCCTGAGCCACCTGGTCTGCAGAGCAGCTTCCTCTGCGTGGGGCTCCCGGGAAAAGCTACTGCCCTCGGCAGAAAGGTCCCCGGAGTCCTGGAGCCCGAGGCAGCCTGACAGCCCGAGGGGGATGCAAGACACCCCCCTTCCCTCCCTCTTCCCCCTCTCCTCCCTCTCCCCCTCCCTCCCTCCTGCCCCAGGGAGGTGAGGGAGTCTCAGGATGGCACTCAGGTGACCTCTGGTCCTTTAATGCAGGAGCCGGCCCTCCCGAGGTGAGGCACAGACCCCGGGTTTACTTGTTTATTTGTTCAGCATTTTAATGATAACTTTATGTACCCCATATACTCAAAGTATATTTTCATGTGGAAATATAATCAATAAATCCAAATTAATACCTACAAATCGAATCTATTTACATATATTTATTTGGACTTATTGGTTATACTTCTATTGATTACATAATAATAAAAGCATAAATGCTAATTAGACCAGCTGTCCTTCCGGACAGCCTTCCTTCCAGACAAAGCCACAGCGGGCGGGGCCACGCCGGCGGTGGGCAGGGCCAGGGCCACGGCCCCTGCCTGAACTGCGTGCCTCGGGCCTCTAGTACGTAGATAAAATTAAATTAGTCACTGAATGTAAAGGCCAAGAATGAAAACCTGCCCTAGAACAGCCGAGGCGGGGCAGTCACCCCCCGGCACGAACTCACCCCCTTTGCCTGTCCAGCATTGTCCCCTGTCCCATACTGGTCTCCCAGCCTTCTAGATCATTCCCCAAGGTGAACCTGCTGCGACCTCCTGGCTCTGAAGCAGCCGGCCCGGCCGCGTGGCTCCGTGGGTGAGGGCCGACCTAGGAGCCAGGAGTGCCGTGTGGGTCCCGGGTGGGTCCCGGGCAGCGCACAGGCGGGCAGCAGGCTTTGGCCCAGCGGGGGGCGGGCAGAGGCAGCCCGTCAGTGATCCTCATCATCGATGCCCCCCCCCTTCCCCTCTGAGATCTATAAACGTATTTTATTAAAAAGGAGAGAAGGGGCCGGATCTGAGATGCCGCTGCTGAGGCCCGGGGTGCGGGACCCACAAACGCTGCCGGCAGCCGGCAGAATGGCCCCAGATGCTCACCCTCCATCCCCAGCCTGGGAGCAGCTTGGGTTCCGTGGAGCCAAGGTCACCAGTTGGCTTGTGAGGTGGCCCTGGATTAGCCGGGGCGCAGGGGAGGAGGGGCCGCAGGGGGGGAGGGGCCGCAGGGGGGGAGGGGCCGCAGGGGAGGAGCCACAGTGGGGGAGGGGCCGCAGGGGGGAGGAGCCACAGTGGAGGAGGGGCCGCAGGGGAGGAGGGGCCGCAGGGGGGGAGGGGCCGCAGGGGGGGAGGGGCCGCAGGGGAGGAGCCACAGTGGGGGAGGGGCCGCAGGGGGGAGGAGCCACAGTGGAGGAGGGGCCGCAGGGGAGGAGCCACAGTGGGGGAGGGGCCGCAGGGGAGGAGGGGCCGCAGGGGGGAGGGGCTGCAGTGGGGGAGGGGCCGCAGGGGGGGAGAGGCTGCAGTGGGGGAGGGGCCGCAGGGGGAGGGGCCACAGGGGAGGAGGGGCCGCAGGAGGGGAGAGGCTGCAGGCGGGAGGGGTCACAGTGGGGAAGGGGCCACAGGGGAGGAGGGGCCGCAGGGGAGGAGGGGCCGCAGGAGGGGAGAGGCTGCAGGCGGGAGGGGTCACAGTGGGGAAGGGGCCACAGGGGAGGAGGGGCCGCAGGGGAGGAGGGGCCGCAGGGGAGGAGGGGCCGCAGGGGAGGAGGGGCTGCAGGGGGGAGGGGCCGCAGGGGAGGAGGGGCCGCAGGGGGGAGGGGCCACAGTGGGGGGAGGGGCCGCAGCAGAGGAGGGGCCATGGGGGAGGGGCCACAGAGGGGGAGGGGCCGCAGTGGAGAGCTGAGGGGGCTGAGGGGAGCGGGGGGGGGGGAGGTTAGGGGAGCGGGGGGCTGAGGGGAGGGGGGGCTGAGGGGGGCTGAGGGGCGGGGGGCTGAGGGGAGGAGGGGACCAGTGTGGCTCAGTGGCTAGAGCATCAGCCTGGGAACTGAAGGGTCCCGGGTTTGTTTCTGGTCCTCGGTTCAGGCTGACGACTCCCTGTCCCCCCCCCCCCCATTCTGCCTCAAAGCCAAGAGGGGGTGCCAGGAGGGGACTGGGCTGTAATGGAGGACTGGGGAGCGCTGGGGGGTGGAGGGTGGCGAGGGGGCGGGGCTGAGGGTACCATTCGGAGCAGCCAACGCCGGTCCTCCCAGCCCTCGCCCAGACTACGCACGTGTGCACTCGCATTCTTACACACCCATGTAGGGGCACACACTCACACATGTGTGCACACTCACCTGTACACACACACACGCACACACGCTCATGCACACGTGTGCTTACATGCGCACACACGGGCACACATGCCCAGCCACATGTGCACGGCTGTGATGACGTGGTCCTCCCCTGCAGTCCCACTGCACACGGGCTGGTGCTGTGTGAACTGAGAGGCTGCGGCCAGCACCGCCGGGCCCGCCGGGAGCCCGTGACGGGCAGCGGGCAGCCGCCCTACAGCCTCCCCGGCCCACATGCCACGGGCTCCCGCCACCCGGGCGGGGGTTTGGGTGCGCTGGGTGAGCGCCAGGTGGGTGCCGAGTGCCGCCCCGTCCGGTGGGCGTGGCCCCACCAGCTCAGCCGTGGCCCTTGGAGACACTCCCCGAGCCTCGGTGAGGGAGCCGGGGGCTGGCCTGGACGGACCGCAGGGCTGTGGTGACCGGGTCCGCTCCTGCGCTGGGTGTCAGGCCACCACTGGCCAGGCGACCCCTGACCCCAGGCTTCTGGGCCCGTGTGTGGGGGTCCCTCCGGGAAGGGGGACCTGCCGGGGGCTGCCTGGGAGACTGCTGGCCTCCCAGGAGCAGAGGACCCGTCGCCGGGTGCCAGCGCCGGGGCTGCAGTTGCCGCTCACGGCCTGGGAGCCGCCATCCCCGGGCCCGCCCACCACGGCCTGGCTCATGCCCGGCTGTCTCCCTCCCCAGAGGTCGGACCCGCAGCTGCTGGCCCAGTTCTACTATGCGGACGAGGAGCTGAACCAGGTGGCGGCCGAGCTGGACAGCCTGGACGGGCGGAAGGACCCCCAGCGGTGCACCCTGCTCGTCAGCCAGTTCCGCTCCTGCCAGGTGAGTGCGGGCCTGTCCGGGCGCGGGGCCTGTCCCTCTGATGCAGAGTGTTCAAAACCGTTCGCTGCTCCGTGTGTTTTAAAGAGCAATCTCTCTTTTTAAAACGTGTTTGTAAAAATATATATTAAATTGATTTTTTACAGAGAGGAAGGGCAAGGGAGAGAGAATTAGAAACATTGATGAGAGAGAAACATCGATCAGCTGCCTCCTGCACACCCCCCACTGGGGATGTGCCCGCAACCAAGGTACATGCCCTTGACCGGAATCAAACCTGGGACCTTTCAGTCCATAGGCCAACGCTCTATCTACTGAGCCAACCGGTTAAGGCTTAAAATATTTTTTTTTATTCATTTCAGAGAGGAAGGAGAGGGAGAGAGAGAGAAAAACATCAATGATGAGAGAGAATCATGGATTGGCTGCTTCTGCACGCCCCACACACTGGGGATAGAGCCTGCAGACTGAGTGCATGCCCTGACCAGAAATCGAACCCTGACCTCCTGGTTTATAGGTCTCTGCTCAACCACTGAGCCACACTGGCTAGGCTGCTCTTGTGTTATTATTTATTAATTATTGTATTGTTTTCCGCATAAACAACTGTTAGCCTACTTGTGCCCGCCCGTACCTGTGCCCGCCCTGAGCGTGAGCAGGAGCGGGCAGGAGTCTCACTCCAGATCCTCCGGGACCCTGAGCTTCTGTGTTGCCAGGGGGAGGGGAGGGCCGTGGGCGCTGCTATGTCCCTGTCGCCCGCCCGCTGCCGGCGCAGCCACAGCGCGGCCTCTCCCTGTTTCAGGACAACGTGCTGAACATCATCGACCAGATCATGGACGCCTGCATCCCCCAGGACCGCGCCCCCCGGGACTTCTGTGTCAAGTTCCCCGAGGAGATCCGGCACGACAACCTGGCCGGCCAGCTGTGGTTCGGTGCCGAGGTAGCGGCGCCCGGGTCCCCGCCACGGCCTGTCTCTCCGCCCCAGACCAGGCCCCGCCGCGGCGTCCGGTCACTCCTGTGGGCCCTCCCCTCCGCCTGCCTCTGGGCCCAGTCACAGTGAGAATGTCTGCGGTTTTGCTGTGACCGCTCTGGACCAAGAGAAACCCGGGGATCCCCCACCCCCTGGGGAGCCCCCACCCACCCCTCCTCTCCCTCCCCCCTCCTCCCTCCTCCGCACACCCACCTCCTTGTAACCAGCCCCAGAGCAGGCCGAGGGGGCCGGGCGGCAGGAGTGCGGGCTCCCGGGAGAGAGGACTTGGGGATGGAGGCCACGCCCAGCCTCTGAGTTCCCCGGGAATCAGGGCGGTCGGGCCTCAGGGTGGCCCCGGTGACCTTCCCTCCGCCCGCAGTGCCTGGCCGCCGGCTCCATCATCATGAACCGGGAGCTGGAGAGCATGGCCATGCGGCCGCTGGCCAAGGAGCTGACGCGCAGCCTGGAGGACGTGCGGGGCGCCCTGCGCGACCAGGCGCTGCGGGACCTGGGCACGTACACGGAGAGGATGCGGGACACCCTGCGCCGCTTCGACGAGCTGTTCGCCGAGTTCGAGCTCAGGTGACCGTGTGCCACGCGGGTGCGGTGGGCGTGGGGCCACGGCCTAGGTGTGGGCCCCCCTCTCCTCCCCCCTCCCTCCCTCCCTCCCTCCCGTCTTCTCCCCCTCCCTCCCCCTTCCCTTCCTCCCTATCCTCCTCCCCCTCCCTCCTTCCCTCCCTCCCTCCCTCCCCCCCTTCCTTCTCCCCCTCCTTCCCTTCCTCTCTTTCCCCCTCCCTCTCCTCCTCCCTCCCTCCCTCCCTCCCTTCTTCTCCCCCTCCCTCCCCTTCCCTTCCTCCCTATCCTCCTCCCCCCCTCCCCCCTTCCCTTCCTCCCTATCCCCCTCCCCCCACTCCTTCCTTCCCTCCCTCCCTCCCCCCTTCCTTCTCCCCCTCCCTCCCCTTTCCCTTCCTCCCTATCCCCCTCCCCCCTCCCTCTCCTCCTCCCTCCCTCCCTCCCTTCTTCTCCCCCTCCCTCCCCCCTTCCCTTCCTCCCTATCCCCCTCCCCCTCCCTCCTTCCTTCCCTCCCTCCTCCCCCTCCCTCCTTCCCTTCCTCCCTATTCCCCTCCCTCCCCCCTCCCTCCTTCCCTCCCTCCCTCCCTCCCTCCCTCCCTCCCTCCCTCCCTCCCTCCCTCCCCTTGCTCAGTGGCCAGGGCTGGCCAGGCGGGATACCAGGGAGTGAGCAGTGACAGCTCAGGCTGGGCAGGGCTGAGAGCGCTGCTGGGGGCCCCGGCGGGCCTGCCCCCGAGCAGCTCTGACCGCAGGGGCGCGGCCGCTGGCCGCTGTGCATTACAGCTACGTGTCGGCCATGGTGCCCGTGAAGTCGCCCCGGGAGTACCACGTGCAGCAGGAGGTCATCGTGCTGTTCTGCGAGACGGTGGAGCGGTGAGCCGCCGTGCCCGAGGGCCGGCCTGGCCTGGGGGGGGCGCCCGCCTGTCACGGGGGTGCCCAGCAGGACAGGGCCAGGCCGGCCCTCCTTGTCCTTGTTCCCGGGGTGGGGGGTCCTGAGTGGCCGCTCCTCATGGCTGCAGCCTGTCCCTCACCCCCCACCCCCCTTCCCTCTGGGCCCGCCCCTAAAGTTCAGGACAGAAAATTCATGGGCAGGACAGCACGGCACAGGCTCTGCCTCCGGGAGCTGACCCCTCCTCCTCCCGCTCCTCACCCCCCCCACCTGAAGGCCTCCCCTCCTCCCCTCCTCCCCACCAGTCCCTCTCCCCACACTCCTCACCCCCCTCCTCCAACTCCCCCGGCAGGAGGGGCCCTGGCTGGGTTTGGGTCCCACCGGGCTGGGGCAGATCTCTCAGCCGGTGCCTTGGGGTGTGAAGTCAGAGGCTCCGAACGGCCTGGGGCCCCTGCGTGAGAGGGCCCGCCCTGAGGCTGGCTGGGAAACCCTGATGTCGCCTCCGAAGCCCTGATAGTCCATGCGTTTCCCGTCATCTCACATCACCCGCACGAGAGGCTCTGTCTGATGTCGCTGGGATGGGGGAGGGGAGTCAGCACAGGCGGCCCCGCCCACCCCTGCAAGGGCTCGGGGCACACACGCCCCCTCCGACTGTCCGCCCAGCGTGGACGCGGGTCTGACCCGGCCCGGCCTCCTCACTGTGCCCCTCGGCCAGGGCCCTGGACTGCGGGTACCTGACCCAGGACATGATTGACGACTACGAGCCCGCCCTCATGTTCACCATCCCCAGGCTGGCCATCGTGTGGTGAGTGTCCCCCCGCCGGACGGTCCTCCGGCGGGAACTGGGCAGGGCCGTCCCATCCGGGGGCTGAGAAGGTCCCAGAGGCGGAGCCTGTGCAGCGCTCACCTCTCCCACCGGCATCTGCTCCACTCCTGCTTGGCTCTGGGGGCAGATGGCTTTGGGTCTTATGGTCACACACTCTAGGGGTGTCCGTTTCCCAGGAGCGGGGCTCAGGGACAGTCTCGTGCTGACGGGCGTGGTTGCCACGGCGACATGCCGCACAGGTGGTGGTGGTTGGATGGTCCCTCGAGTGACCGTTATCAGAACAGGGCACAGTTTGAGTGACAGTTCTTACTGCATTTCTCTAAACTTATTGAAGACTCGGTCTCACTCAGCAGTGTGGCTCAGTGGTTTAACATGGGCCTGGGAACCAGGAGGTCATGGTTCAGTTCTGGTCAAGGGCACGTGCCTGGGTTGCAGGCTCAATCCCCAGTGGGGGGCGTCCAGGAGGCAGCCAATCAATGATTCTCTCTTGTCGTTGGTGTTTCTCTATCACTCTCCCTCTTCCTTCCTCTCTGACGTCAATAAAAACATCCTATAGGTAAAAGGCTAATATGCAAATTGCCCCCTAGGAAGTTCAACAGGGAGTTTGATCGCTTGCTATGACAGACACTGACCACCAGGGGGCGGAGAGAAATATGGCGGGCGACAAGCTGCAGTGGCGGGTGCTGAGGGAGCTAGGGATGGAGGAGGCGGGGGGCCCTGGTCACAGCCCAGGCCTCGGGACTCTACTCATGCACAGATTTTGTGCACCTGGCCTCCAGTTTAAAAAAAAAAAAAGGATTGGGTCTTGAGGTGATGCGCATGCCTGCTGAGTGTGGGGTGGTTGGGAGGCAGTGGCAGGGCCGGAGCCAGGCTGGCTGTTGTGTCCTGAATGCAGCGGCCTCGTAGTGTACGCGGACGGACCCCTGAACCTGGACCGCAAGGCGGAGGACATGTCCGAGCTGTTCCGGCCCTTCCACACGCTGCTGCGGAAGATCAGGTGCGGAGGGAGGGAGGATGGGGGGACGGGCTGGCATTGGCGGTCACCCCAGCCTTCGGCCCCGCAGGACTGGGGGGCAGTTCCTGGTCCTCTTCCGCTCAGCGGGGTGATGGGGCCTCGGCCTTGGTCTCTGGTGCCAGTTTATGGTGTTGAGGGCCCTTGTTGCTCGTGCCCGTCCTTCCCGCGGGACCAGGTTCTTTGTGGTGGCCGTCGTGCCTGGAGACGGTCTGCGTCGCTGCCCGGCCGAGGTCCCACCCGGCCTGGCGCCGACTCTCAGGGCCTGAGGGGCCTGGCTCTCAGGACGGGCTGTGACAGGTGTCACGCCGTACACAGCACAAGCTGTGCAGTTCTGAGAGGCGCTAGTTTTATAAAAATATGTTTCTATTGATTTTAGAGAGAGAGGAAGGGAGAAGGAGCAAGAGAGAGAGAGAGGGGGAGAGAGAGAGAGAAATGTCAGTGATGAGCCCTCGGCAGTGTGGCTCAGTGCATAGAGCGTCCAACTGCGGACCGAAGGGTCCTGGGTTCGATTCCAGAATTACGATCAAGAGCGTGTACCTCAGTTTCAGGCATCTGTCTCCCCAGCCTGGGCCCTGGCCAGCGCACGTGCATAGACAACCAATCTATGTCTTTCTCTCACATCCATGCTCTTCTATTCTGTAAAAATCAATGAGAAAATATCCTCGGGTGAGGAGAGAGGGAGAGAGAGAGAGAGAGAGAGAGAGAGAGAGAGAGGGAGGGAGGGAGAGAGGGAGGGAGAGAGGGAGGGAGAGAGGGAGGGAGGGAAAGGAAGAAAAAAAGAAAGAGAGGAGAGGAAGAAAAAAAGAAAGAGAGGAGAGAAAGAAAGGAAGAAAGAAAGGGAGAAAGAAAGAAAGATCATTGATGAGAGAGAATCATGGATCGGCTGCCTCCCGTATGCCCCCCACTGGGGATCGAGCCCGCAGCCAGGCATGTGCTCTGACTGGGAATCCAACGGGACTCTGGGTTCCTGGTTCGATGCTAACTGCTCAGCATGCTGGCTGACTGCAGGGCGCGCTTTTTCGTGTGCTCCTGTGTGTTCACCGTGGGACTCGGACCAGGCTGGCCCGTGCTTCTCCCTGCACAGAGCAGCTGCTCAGCCCAGGAAAGTCACTCCGCATCCTGGTCTCTGGGTCAATGCCCCTTCCTCCAGGAAGTCTCCCCAGACTGAGCCAAGTACCCTCCGTTTTCCTCGGTTGCAGTTGTCACTATTGTGGTTCCATCATCGCTCACACAAATATCTGTTTTCTGCATCTTCCAGTTGCCGGGGCCATGCCTGTCTGGCTGCCGTGCCCCGTGCCCAGCACACAGGCGGGGCTCAGAGCAGCTGTGAGACAGAAGGAGGAAGCCATAGGGAAGCCGGCAGTGGGCTTTCACGCCTAGATGTTTTCCCTCCTGTGGTTAGCACAGCCCCTGGACCAGGCGCTCTTGTTCCCACCAGAGGCTTCAGAACCTGGTTGTTAAGGAGGAAACTGCCCAGCTGGTGGCCGGCCTGGCTCTGGGGTCCAGATTTGACCTAGGAGCCAGGAGGTCACAGTCCATCCCCCATCGGGCACATGCCCAGGTTATGGGTTTGGTCCTCAGTGGAGGGCGTGCAGGACAGCCAACCCATGGTTCTCAATCATCATTGATGTTTCTCCCTCTCTCTCTCCCGCTCCCTTCCTCTCTGACATCGATAAGAACATATTTAGAAAATAGAAACATATTTCAACAAAATAAAAGAAGGGAGCCGCCCCCCGGGGAGCCGGTGCCTCTCTTTATGCCTGAACTGAATTGCGAGCTGTGGGTGCCCGCTGCTCTCCTGGGCGCTGGCGGGTGGCCGCGGGCCCTCACTGGTGTCTGGTCCCTGCAGGGATTTGCTGCAGACCCTGACCGAGGACGAGCTGCACACGCTGGAGCGGAACCTCTGCATCTCCCATGACGTGGAGTTCCCCCTCCGCACGGACGCCCCGGTGCCCCCGGCCCTGGCGCCCGCCTTCCCCGCGCCCCTCCCGCCCGAGGAGCTGCTGCCGGCCAAGGCCAAGGACCTGGAGGCCGAGCTGGCCTGCTCCATGCAGTACGATGACCAGGAGCTGGAGCAGCTGAGCCGCATGGTGCACCGGGCGGGGGACGCCATGTCCTCGCTGCTGTCCCCGCCCAGCGCCTGCCAGTCCCCGGCTCGCCGGCCAGGCAGCGCGGGCGGCGAGGGCAGCCCCCGGGCGGAGGCCTCCCCCGGCCGCAGGCTGCGGCCCTCGGGCAGCGACGAGGAGGAGGGCAGGGTGTTCTTCATGGACGACGTGGAGGGGGCCCCGGAGGCCCCGGGCAGCCCCTCCGTGTGGCCGGGCGGCCCCCAGCGGGGAGAGCAGGGCGGGGAGGCCGGGGCCCCGGTGCCCGCCGCCCCGAAGGACAAGGGAGACGTGAGCAATAACAACAACGCTCCGGACGGGGACCGGGCGTGGGCGGCCGGCCCCAACTCCTGCAGCTGCCTGGACGGCCCGCCGCCCCCCGACGGCTGGGAGGCCGCGGCGGACGACGCGGAGACCGCCGAGATGATCGCCCACCGCACGGGGGGCATGAAGCTCTCGGCCACCGTCATCTTCAACCCCAAGTCGCCCGCCTCCCCGGACGGCGGCGTCCCTGCCCTGGAAGCGCCCGGACCCGGGGCCTCCCCATCGGAGACCGCGGCCGAGGGCACGGAGGGCGGCCCCCACAAGCTCAGCACCGCCACGGCCACCAGCTGCCTCCTCCATTCCTGCGTGTGCTGCGCCGGCTGCAGGAGCGGCGGGGAGGAGGCCACCGAGAGCCTGCCGGACAAGGGCAGCCCGGGCGTCCCCGGCACCTCCTACGTGGGCTTGGGCTCGGGCGTGGCCAAGGGCGGGGCTGAGCGGCCGGAGGAGGCCCGGCCTGCCCTGGAGGCACTGCCCTCGGGCCCCCCGGCCCCCCTGCCCACAGAAGACACTCCCGATCAGCAGGAGCCCAGAGCCCCTGCTCTCAGCAAGTGCCTGGACCTCCCCTCGGGGCCCACGGTGGACGCAGCAGACGGCCTGCAGGGCATCGGGGACGGCGGTCAGCAGGAGCCCGAGGCCGGACAGCTGGACGATGGACAGCCCTCCCTGAGCCGCAGCCTTTCGGGCCCCAGGTAAGAGCCTGGCCCCTGGGCTCACTCCCTGACTGCACTGGGGGCGTGTGTGGCTGATGATTCTGTCAGGTGTTTCCACGGGCCCTCGGGGCAGGGGTGGGGGGCAGCAGGGGCCTCAACGCTGCAGGACGTTCAGCAGCTCGATCTGGCCTCCTGGGCACGGTGGTGACCCCGCCCAGAAACATCCCCTTTGGCCCCTGAGAGTGCAGGCCTTTGAGGAGGTGGCAGGGCCCAGCCTGGGTTCTGCCCTGCCCGAGGCGTGGCCCAGCCTGGCCCTGGTGTTACTAGCGTGGGGGTGGGATGGACGGTGGCGATGGGCGTGGCTTTGTCTTTGCTGCCCCGAGGGTGCCCACATGACCACACGGCCACTCGGCCCCCGTGGGTGCACCGACCCTCAGTGAGCTGTGGGCACCGGGCCCCTGGGTGCTGAGACTGCCCAGATCCTCAGGAGGTGCTCGGGCGCTGCCCTCCCGCCCAGGTGCACCTCCTCAGACTCCAGGGGTCTTGGTCCCCTGGCGCCCCTCACCCCGGCTCACCCAGGCAGAGCAGGCGGCAGCCAGGCCCCTCCAGCCTGACATGGCACAGAGGACGAGCGGGGTTCGCCAGGTGGTTCCCACGGGGCCGTGGTGGTGTCACCACGGGCTGGTCTCTCACTAGGACTTGCCTACAGGGCGCCCACTGGCTTCGGCTGTGACCACCAGTGGGTGCTGCGGGGGGCGCTCAGCCTGGAGGCCCTCTGTCAGGAGCCGTGGAGATGGCTACAGAGAAGTGGTCAGCGGGGTGGACCGGGGAGGGGGTCTTCATACCGGGGGAGGGTCTCCACGCCAGGGGGAGGGGTCTCCACGCCAGGGGGAGGGTCTCCACCCCAGGGGGAGGGGTCCCCACACCAGGGGGAGGGTCTCCACGCCAGGGGGAGGGTCCCCACACCAGGGGGAGGGTCTCCACCCCAGGGGGAGGGTCTCCACGCCAGGGGAGGGGCTGTGGGTGCCGGGCTGTGTGCTCTGCCTCCTCCTTTCTGGCCTCGCCCCAGCACAGGTGTGAGAGTGAGGGGCTGGCTGGGACCCTGTGGTGTTGGGGCCGCCGCCGCTCACTCCTCCATGCCGAGTCCCCGTGTTTGCGGCTGGACCTCACGGCCCGCGTGTCCGTGCCTGCCTCTCCTGGGTGGGGCCTCAGTCACTCCCCACCCCTCCCCAGCCCTGGGCACCCACTCATCTATTACCCGGCTCCATAGGCTGGCCTGTTCCGGAAACTTCCTATAAACAGGATCACACAATAAGTTCCCTTTGGTGTCTGGCTTTTAAAAACTGCATCTTCGTTGTTGAAAGTGTTACAGATACCCCTTCTCTCCCCCGCCCCCACCTATCCCCGCCCTGCCCCCGGTCCAGGCCTTCCCCACACTCTGTTTGTGCCCAGGGGGTAGGCATATATGCATTCAAGTTCTTTGGTTGATCTCTTCCCATCCACCCACTCTCCCCCGCCTCCCCGCTGAGACTCCGGGTCTGTCCCATGCTGGCGTCTGGCTGAGCGTCAGGCTTTCAAGCAAACACCAGCCTTTCCTCCCTCTTCATGGCTGTGTAATATTCCACGGGAGGATGGACCATGTTTCATTTATCCACCTGTCTGTCCAGGTGCGCGGGTGTATGTGTGTGTGTATGCATGCCTGTGTGTATGCACATGTATGTGTGTGATTATTCCCCTTTTGGCTATTATGAATAATGTTGCTATGAACACCTTTGTATAAGTTAAAAAAAAAATTTTTTTATTGATTTCAGAGAGGAAGGGAGAGGGGGAGAGAGATAGAAACATCAATGATGAGAAAGAATCATCCATCGGCTGCCTCCTGCATGCCCCACGCTGAGGATTGAGCCCTGACTGGGAACTGAACCGCTGACTCCTGGTTCATACATAGGTTGGTGTTCAACCACCGAGCCGCACTGGCCGAGGGCAGCGAGGGCAGCCCCGGTGGAGGCCTCCCCAGGCCGCAGGCTTGACCGTCGGGCAGTGACGAGGAGGAGGGCAGGGTTTCGACGTGGAGGGACAGCGGAGGCCTGTGCACACGTGTGTGTGTGTTTGTTTGTGTGTGTGTGGTCATGTTTCTGTGTCCTTTGCTTTCATATCCAGGTGTGGGAGTGCTGGGCCACATGATGTAACTTCTTTTTAAATATTTTTATGGATTTGAGAGAGAGAGAGAGAGAGGGGAAGGGAGAGGGAGGGAGAGAGAAACATCGCTCGGTTGCTTCCCGTACATACCCTGACTGGGAACGGAAAACGCAACCTAGGCATGTGCCCAGATGGGGAATGGAACTGGCAGCCTTTCCGTGCACAGGACCACGCCCAACCCACTGAGCAACACGGGCCAGGGCTGCGGGTTAGCGCAGTGGTTGGCAAACTGTGGCTCACAAGCCACGGCTTGCCGCTCTGTTGACTAATGAGTTTGCCGGCCACTGGGTTAGCTTTTTAAGGTGCTGTCACCCGCTTGCCACAGTGGCTGCTGTGAGCGTGCCCCCCGTCCTGGCCGGGGTTGGTTTCTCCACCTCCTCACGGACACCAGTGTCCCGGGAGGCTGTTTGAATAGGGCTTTTGCCCGAGGGACACACCCACTGGGACTCCCTGAAGTCACTCCCCGAGGCCAGGATGCCCCCCCCCAGTTCGCCGCAGCAGGCCCACCTGTTCCCGTGGCAGCGGACGGTGGACGGTGCATTCGCCCGGGTCTCACTGCCATCAGTTAGGGGAGATGTTTGCAGGCTCCCGTCAGGCCCACGGGATGAGGGTTCAGTCTCTTCACCTCATGTGCCCCCTCTCGTGCTGTAACAGGTTTAACTTTTTTTATAGTTTCTCCTGGAAGTTTAAAAATAGAAGCCACGATGTACCTGAACCCACACACCTGCTCCCCCTCCTGTTCTATGCAAAGGGCCTTGCCCTGCACACGCCTCTAGCCTGGCACTCCTGGCCGAGCCCGGGAGCTGCTGTGGCAGCTTCTAGACGTGGCCCCACGGTCACTGTCGCTGCCTGGGACCCCGCCATGTGGCTGGACCCACGTCACGCACGCCAGCTGCTGGCCCTGGGGTTGCCCCCGACTGGGTGCCTGCAAGCGGTGCCTCAGGGAGCAGCGTCCGGCAGCATCCCTCGGGGATAAGGCCACTCGGGAGGTACTAGCCCAGCTGCCTCCGCCACGCCCAGGGGGACAGATTTTTGTCCACAGCCTCCTGGACGGCTCCTCCCCAGCCCCGCGGCCGAGCTGATTGGTAAGTGTCGCTTTCTGCAAGGCGGATCAGAACACAGCACAGACTCTCTGACGGGCTCCTGGATCGGGGAGTTTGACCTGCACCCACTTTCTCTGCTGTGTGTTCAGGTGACAGCCAGAGGACACCTGCTCTGTCTGCAGCCCCCTCCTGCTCTCCTGCCGTGTCCCGCCGTGCACACGGCTCATGGGTTCACGTCACGCCTCAGCTTCCAGCCTCACCGGCTTAGCACACACGTGCGCACATGCCGCCGAAGCTGAGCTGCGAAAAGGAAGAGAACCCCACCGAGAACCCCAGGACGTCCCGTCCTCCAGGATTTCCAGAAGGTGCCTGAGTCCGAGGGAGGAAGAACGTGGTTGGTAGGCGGCCGGCTGAGCAGGACAGCCCTGCGCCTGGGTCAGGACCTTGGACAGCGGGCCCGGCACTGCATAGGGGAAGCTGGGAGTCCGGCCGGCAGGTGGCGCTGTCCCACCCACGGACGAGGAGCGAGGCTCATTCAGACCAGGCTGACTCCTGGACACCCACCCACCCACCCACTCAGTGGCCGGGCAGGGCGCCCACCTCGGGGAACCTGATGGAACACGGGGCGCAGGTGACAAGGCAGCATGGGAAAGACAAGCATGAACGATCCATCGGCCTTCTGTCCAGGAACCGGCAGGAAGTTCACAAAATTCAGAGGGCGAGAGGCCGGGACCTGGTTGGCATTTGGTGATGGCAGCGGCCGCCGGGGCGGTGCAGCTGGCCGCCCCGCCTGGCAGATGGAGAGTCAGGCCGGGGAGCTCCTGCACCCCTTGTGGGACCAGCATGGTCCCGATTTGACCCTGAGGCCCGCCTGTGAAGCAGGTGCTCCCGTGGCCCCTGCAGTGTGTGCCCGAGGAGGGAACCGCGGGCCGCCCTGCCCGCATGGGCTCCTCGGACCCGGGGCCATTTCTGGAGCCGGTGCCGTGAAGGAGCCGCCCGGGATGGTCAGCTTGCTCCAAGGGCACCACTGGAGCGTGTTCCCCGCGGAAGGCCGGCTGCCCTGGGCCTGGAGGAGGGTCCGGCCGGAGGAGTCCCTCTCCGGCATTTCGCCTGCCCGACCTGCACCCCTAGCTCCCCGCTGGCCGCTCCCACCAGCGCCGCTGCCCAGGGTCCGGCAGTACCACATCCAATGTCCTCAGAGATTCTTGCGGCTTCTTCCTCGCCTTTTCAGGCTCACAGATCAGCCTTTTTGGGAAAAGTTGCGTGTTTTTTTTTTTTTTTTTTTTAAACCCTGCTGTCCCTGTGTAGACTCGCCTCATTATCCACAACCTTCTGTGCTCAGAGCCAGCCGGGTCCATCCCCTTTCTATCTGTCTGTCTCGGTGCGCCTGCCTTTCCCGGGACGCCCTGCTCGCGTGTGCTCCCGGCCTCCCGCCTTCTCCAAAAGCAACGCCGACGCGCGCTCTTTTCTCATCATAATGTAGTCCCGGCCACGGCGGAGCGGAGGGAAACGCCATGAGCACGAGGAGGGAAATAAAGCCATCCCCAGCCCATGGCCGTTTCTTTGCTTTCTCGCCGAATGCTGTTACGACTGCTGCTCCACAAAGTCCGCTGTTTGCTGGCGTCACAGGCTCTGCGTCCGTCCTTTCCGGCTCCGTATTTCCCCAAGACGCACGAGCCGCGTGGTCATGCCCCCTCCGGCTGTGTCTGGATTGTTTCTGGATTCCCAGGCAATGCGGCGTGGAAGCGCCATGCAGGGTGAAGCACGCAGCAGCTTCCACACGTGAGACATGGCTGTTGGCTTCCCATAGGTGCCTTCCACACATCCAGTTTGATGAATATTTCATAAGCGCAGACGTCGCCCCTAGCTGGTGTGGCTCAGTGGATAGAGTGTCGCCCTGCGGACTGAAGGGTCCTGGGTGTTCGATTCCGGTCAAGAGCACATGCACAGGTTTCGGGCTCCATCCCCGGTAGGGGTCATGCAAGAGGCAGTCGATCCATGACTCTCTCTCATCATTCTCATCATTACTGTTTCTCTCTCCCTCTCCCTTCCTCCTTGAAATTATTACATACATATATGGCACGCCAGCACTTCTTCTCTAACTTTTGGGGTGATCAGGCAGCTCTTCCTTTTCAGTCTCTCCTGGGACACGTGCAGAGATTCAGCCGGCCTTGCATCCCTGGGGTGACCCTCTCGGCCATGGCGTGTCATCCTGTTCACCTGTGTCGGCTTTGGGCCGCTCACATGTTGTCGAGGATTCCGAGTGGGATTGTGGGGCACGGGGACAGTTGTTTTCTCGGAACGCCTCTCTCGGGCCGGGGTATCAGAGAGGCGTGCTGAGTCCGGCACCGTGCAGGGCGGTTCCCACACCTGCCGTGTTCCGGGGAGTTCGTGAGGCCTGGGTGTCACCGGCAGCCTTCCCGGGCCCTGCAGCCCTCTGTGGGAGGGGTTTCCGAGACAAGTCCCAAGTCTGTGCCCGTTGTCGGTCTGCTATTGCTTGTTCTACCCATTGCTCGTTCAGTGAGTGGAAGCGTTTATATGCATGGCCCCTCCTCCTGGCTTCCCCTACCCCTGCTCAGATTCAGGGCCCCTGCTCTCCACACCTCCCCTCCTCTCTTGTGCTCACCCAGCCCCGCCCGCAGGGTTGGTTTCCCTTAGCCGAGCCTGCACCCCCATCTCTGGATGCGCTCTGTGCTCTCCTTATTTGCTCCCTGGTCCCCATCCCCTCCTCGTCGCGGCCACACGCAGTCACCACAGGGCAGTCCTGCCTGCTGCCTTTGTAGAGCCCGTGGCTGCGTGGCCGCGTGGCCCCCACGGCTGCCTTTCCCTCGCCGCCCCTCCTCTCAGGCTCGGAACAGGCTCAGAGCACCGGGCTGGAGCGTCCTCTCATCTCTCTGGGCCCGGGTCTCGGGCCTCCTGCAGGACCCCGTCCTCCTCCGGTCCCCTGCCTGCACACGAGTCCCTTGGGCTCCTGCCTGCACACTCACCCGCCACCAAGTGGCATCAGGCCTGGAAGGCAGCTGGCCTCGGGGGAAGCCCTGGAGTGAGGGAGGGGCCATCGAGGCTCACGTCCGGTCTCTCACATCCTTGACTCTCCCCCGCTGTCCTGCCCTGCAGCCGGCTGACCTCCACCTGCCCAGTGCGGCCACCAGGATGTGCTGGTGGCCATCAGCCCAGCTCCCCAGGCTCGGAGAGGGTCCCTGTCCCCAGCTCGGGCTCCCTGCTGGGGCAGCTCCAGGAAAACAGGGCTGGCAGGGTCCAGGCTCCAGCGCTGTCCCCTCCCCTGAGTCCCGAGGAGGGTCGAATCCCCCCAGTCCTGCCCACCCGCGTCCTGCCCGACTCCTGGCTCCAAAGGGGACCAGGGGACCTCACAGACCGGGCGGAAGCAGGGCTTTGAGCTGGAGCGAGTGCTTGGTGAGCACTGGCAGTCCTGGGCGGGGCTGGGGGGTGGAGGGGCAGGCACCAGAGGCTGCCGCAGCCTCAGGGTCATCCTCCTCCAGCCCCGGAGCAGGAGGGGGCCTGTCTGAGCAGCTGCTGCGCTGGGGCAGGCATCTCCCACCTCCGGAGGCAGAGCCCAGAGGAAGGGTGAAGTGCTGCCTGATGGGCACGGCAGGAGGATGCCCCTCAGACGCCCCCCCTCCCCTCCCCGCGCTCCGGGCCGCCAGCCGCCGAGCCTTCTGTTCGGAGCTTTAAAAAGCAGCAGCAGGCGTGGCGCCGGAATGTGACACGGTCCTCGGCCCACGCGACGACACGTCTATTTATAAATGCACACACGCATGTGCCGTGGCGTGTCTGCACCCCCTAGCTGTCTAGATGTGCACGCACTGCACTGCGTTAGGGCCAGGCCCCGTGACACGGCCGGGACCTTCCCGGAGCCGGAGCCGGGCTGCGCCCAGCCCTGAGGCCCCTCTGCGCCCCAGACCCGGACCTCAGCCGCCTCCCCTCCTGTGGCGCCCCCTCCGCCCAGCGCTGGAGGCACTGGCCCCGCTGCCGCCCCGCTTGTCAGGGCGGGGTTCCAGCTCCCCTCGCGGGGCCGGGAGGGGTCAGAGCCGCACCCTTGCTGTGCCTCATTGTTCTCCACTGTCCTGTGGGACGGGCTGTGCCTGCTCCGGGGCTGCTGTGACACACGTGGACACGTTTGTGTGGATCAGTTTCCAGTTCCCTCGGGCGCACACGTCAGGGGGAATTGCAGGCTCACTGGGACCAGGAAGGGGCTACTTCCGAAGGGGCTGCCTGTTCGATCCCGCCTCCCGCCCAGGAGGTCCGAGGGTTCTGATTTCTCCACGTCTTCACCGACACCTGTTGTCTTCTTTCTTAAAAAAAAAAAAAAAATGTATATATATTTAGCCCTAACTGGTTTGGCTCAGTGGATAGAATGTCGTCCTGTGGACTGAAAAGTCCCAGGTTCGATTCCGGTCAAAGGCATGTACCTTGGTTGTGGGCACATCCCCAGTAGGGGGTGTGCAAGAGGCAGCTGATCGATGAATCTCTCTCATCAATGTTTCTGACTCTCTCTTCCTCTCTGTAAAAAATCAATAAAATACATTTAAAAATATTTTTATTGATTTAAGAGAGAAAGGGAGAGGGAGAGAGAGACAGAAACATCTGTGATAAGAGAATCATTGATCAGCTGTCTCCTGCGTGCCCCCCCAGACTGGGGATTGAGCCCGCAACCCGGGCCTGTGCCCTGACTGGGAATTGAACTGACCTCCGGGTTCATAGGTCGATGCCCAGCCATGGAGCCCCGCCGGCGGGCTGCGCAGCCCCTCGCACCCTCCTGTGCAGATTGCCAAACCGCCCAGCCCCCTTGCCCACACAGACCCGCATCCTCTCCTCTGCTCTCCCCGAGCACCCCAGGCACAGAGCCGGGGCCGAGAGCCGCCCGCCGCCCACCCCACACCGTGTCTGCTTCTCCGCAGGGGCTGCCTGGCCGGGGCCTGCTCGGCGGACAAGGCTGGGCCAGAGGCGGCGCCCGTGGCCACGAGAGAGAAGATGCGGTCCCGGTTCCACAGCAGCCACGACCTGATCCATCGCCTGTTCGTCTGCATCTCAGGTGCCACGTGTGGGCGGGCAGGTGGGCTGGTGGGTGAGGGGGCGTGCTTTGGGGGAGCAGCTGGTGCCCATAGGGGCTGAGGCCAGGTGCGGGTGAAATCTGACAATGATGCGGTGATGTTGGGGCGCGCTGCCTGATGTCGGGGTGCAGGGGTGCCCGGCCCTGTCCGTGGGCTCGCTCTGCCTTGTCATCGCCCTGCGCCCTGCGCCCTACGCCCAGCAGAAAGCAGGCTTTGTTCGAGGTCAGACCCTCCCCCTCCCCCGTGATGGCCCCTCGGCCCCCTGGGGGTTCTGTGCACCTTGAGGTTCAGAGTCCTTGTACGTCCCGACCGGTTAGTCTTTCCTTCCTCCATGGCTCACAGAAAGGGGGGACGTTTTGTCCCCCAGGGGGTCAGAGAGGGCATGTGCGAAGGGCGCCTTTTTCAAGGTTCCTTTAGTTCTGTGCGTTTTAAACGAGCGCAAACCCATGTGGTTCAAAAGCATACAGTGTGGGGTCCCCCGCCCGCCTGGGAGGGGCTTCGGGAGTGCTGTCCTGCCTCGGGCTCCACCCCCACACCCTCCGGGGGGGGGGGGCCCCTCTGCCCCGGCTGCAGGGAAGAGGCAGGAGCCAGTAGTAGCGGACCTGGAGTCCCAAGCCCAGGGATCATTGCCAGGGGTCCCCGGGGCACAGCCTGAGCCAGGCCCCTCCCGGGTGGGACCACGAGGGCCGGGGACTCTGAGCTTCATTCAGTTCGCTCACCTGCCAGAATGCACCCCATGGTGTTTTGTGTTTTTTTTTTTTTTTTTTTAAATATATTTTTATTGATTTCAGAGAGGAAGGAAGGGAGAGGAAGGGAGAGAGAGAGAGAGAGAAACACCCGTGATGAGAGAGAATATGGATCAGCCGCCTCCTGCACACCCCACACTGGGGATGGAGCCTGCAACCCCGGCCTGTGCCCTGACCGGGAATCAAACCCTGACCTCCTGGTTCCTAGGCCGATGCTCACGCCTGGCCCAGGCTGGGCTCCCGGTGGGGGTGATGCTGAGGAGCAGTGCCTGCAGGTGCCCAGCACAGGGGCTCACAGGAGACCGGGGCGCTGGGCCGCAGCCACGCCCACAGCCACGCCCACAGCCACGCCCACAGCCGCAGGGCATCCTCCTGGCTTTGGCCGGTAAAGAGCCGCCTGCTGGTCACGGAGAGGCTGGGTCCACCCGTGTCTGGAAGGAGGGAGCCCTGCTGAGGGTGGGGACACGTTCCCCGCCCGGAAGTGGCTGGGGGCTGGGGGCGCAGAGGAGCTGGGCACCAGGCACCTCCCGGCCCCACCCCCACCCCCCCACGGGGAATCCCGGCTGCGCTGTTTGCCGTGGGGAGGGCATGTCCAGGTGCCGCGTGGCCGTGACCTTGGGTGGTGCTGCCGGGCGTGGTTTGAGCTGAGATCCCTCAGGGCGGGCCAGGGCTGCCCGGTGGTGGTGGCGGTGGCGTGACCCGGAGGAGATGTGCCCGAGCTCCTGCCTCCGCCAAAGACTCGCCGGGCTGGCGGCCGCTTCTTGCTGCCCAGCTGCAGGCGCGGTCCCCAGGTGGCCAGCCCACCGCTCCCTGCCCCTCCCATCCCCAGGGGTGGCTGACCAGCTGCAGACCAACTACGCCAGTGACCTGAGGAGTATTCTCAAGACCCTCTTCGAGGTCATGGCCACCAAGCCGGAGATGGACGACAAGGACAAGCTGCGGAAGGGTGAGTGCCCTCGGGGTGTCCAGCGCCTGGGCGCGGGGCACCCGGCAGCCCCCACTCCCAGCGTGGGCAGGGCCGGCCCTCCACGCCCGGCCGGGGACGGGATGGAGCGTGGACCCAGCCGCCTCTCTTCCAGTGACCCAGACGCTGCGGGGCGCGGCCTTGGAGGACTGCGCCCTGTGCCAGGAGACCCTGTCGTCCTCCGAGCTGGTCGCCAAGACCCGGGACGGAGACTTGGAAGGTGTGTGGAGCGCTGGCCCGCCTGACGCTTGCTCTCTGGCCCAGACCCCTGCCCCCCACTAGCCTGAAAGTGGTGGCTGGAGGCAGGTGGCTTGCTGGTCAGGGAAGGGCACTGGGGAAGACCCTGGGGGGCATGTGTCCCTCGGAGCCTGGAGGTGCTGGAGGGCGGGAGCAGCTAGGCCTGAGCAGGGTCCCAGGTGCCGTAGCCCAGGAGGCGGAAGCTGACTCGGCAATAGACTAGGTCACACCCAGGGCCCCAGCTCAGGGCCTCTCCTGCTGCCTGGAGACAGGTGTACCTCGAGGCTGTGGGTGAGGAGGGCAGGGCGGCTCAGGCAGGGCCGTGGGGTGGGCCAGGCAGGAAGTCCCCGGACCCTCAGGGGCCCAGGCGGGTGCTCTCCTCGGCCTGAGCTGGAGGCCGGCCGGGCCCGTCCAGGGCGTCGCTGGGTCCAGCAGGCGTTGGTCAGGGTGCCGGGGGCCAGAGTGAGAACCGACCCGTATGGTGTGGGCGAGCTGAGGGCCCCGGGAGGGTGGCCTGTAAGGAGAGGCCGGGGAGGCAAGGCGCCTGGGTGGCCGGTGGCCGGGCGGCCTTCACCGTCCATGGGAGGTCCCGGGGGCCGGGGGCTGCAGGGTGGACAGGGCCTCGGAGCACCTCTGGGAGTCATGCTCGCTTCGGCCTGGAACATGGCGGCCCCTGGGCTGAGGGAAGTGACCGTCTTGTTGTACAAGCTGCTTCCCACATTTCAGAGCTCCTGAGAATGGGAGAGGGGGTCCCTGTGACCCCGTGACCCTGTGGGAGGCAGGGGCCTGGCCCCGGCCCCTGCCTGGGCAGCACAGGTGACAGGGCAGGCAGCACCAGCCTTGGCCTCTGGAGGTGGACGGGAGTCTGCCTGGGCCTCCAGGGACCAGGGTCCAGGGACCCCTGACACCCCACAGTGTAGACTTCTTTATGCCTCAGTTCCTACCACTGCCCAAGGGCCTTGCCAGCTGGGTGCTGGAGGCCGAGGCTTGGGAGGGGTGATCCAGGCTCTGCCCGAGGGTGTGCAGACTGACCGCCCACAGGGGAGGCTCCTGCACACCCACCTGCGACCCTGTCGTGGCTGCATGGCTCCCTGTGCCTGACGCCACCTCCCCCTTGTCACAGACCCGCCCGAGTGGGTCCCGGACGAGGCCTGCAGCCTCTGCACCGCCTGCAAGGCGCCCTTCACAGTCATCCGCAGGAAGCACCACTGCCGCAGCTGCGGGAAGGTGGGCCACCCCCGCCCAGCCCCGGGCTGTGGGGCCCTGCGCTGGCCCTGCTCCGCTCAGCATGGCCTCAGGCACTTGGCCCACGGGGTCTGGATGGGGCCCTGTCCCCTCCCTGCTGCTGCAGAGCTGGGAGCAGGGGGACGGGGTTGGGGTTGGGGGGGTAGGGGGGAGAAATACAGGGAGTCTAAACAGGAGCCTGCAGCACCTGGTGGGGGGCCTGAGACACCCCCCCCCCGAACCTGGCCATCGGGAGCACCCTCTGTCCCGGTTTTCCTGAAGGCCCCGCCCTCTCACGCCAGCCTGGCGGGTGGGAGGAGGTGTGGGAGGCCAGGGCGCTCAGGGCTCGGACACTGTCCTCCGGGTGCTGTCCCGTGGGGCCAAGGTCAGGGTGCGCCCAGGTGGGCGCGGGGGACCCTCCCGGCTCATGTTCCCCCCCCCCCCCCCCCCCCCCCCGCCTTCCAGATCTTCTGCTCTCGCTGCTCCTCGCACTCGGCGCCGCTGCCGCGCTACGGGCAGGTGAAGGCGGTGCGCGTGTGCACGCACTGCTACATGTTCCACGTGACGCCCTTCTACAGCGACAAGGCGGGCGTCTGACGGCACCGGGCGCCGGACCCGCGGACCCGCCGACAACCAGGGCGCCCTCGCTCCCCGCCCGGTCCCATCAGGCTGCTGCCCGGAGGCTGGCAGGACAGCCTGCACCGCGGCCGGCCAGGCCGCTCCCCACCTCCAGGCCAGGGGAGGGGGTCCCTGGGGCGCCAGGGGCTACCCTGCACACTCACCAGCCCTGCTGGGCTGCGGCTGGAGGCCGGGCCTGCAGAAGGCCTGCTGGGGGCGCCGCTGGGCAGCCTCAGCGCCAGGGACAGGGCAGGAGAGGGCTGGGCCTCCGTGCCCCGCAGGCTTCCCCACACGCTTGCCAAACCAGTGCCCAGAGCCGGGACCTATCTCAACCCCTCCCCTACCCCCGACTCCCCGCACACCCATGCCTGCCCTCGGGGCCTTGCTGAGCAGCGCACGGCTCCCGTGCCCAGTGGTCCTCTGGGTGAGCCTTGCCCTGTGCTGCCTGCCCACCCATCCACTGCGGGTGGGGAGGCCATGGGGACCCATAGACAGGTCCGGGGGCTCAGGCCAGGGCTCCCAGGCAGCCAAGGACCCCGGCCCGCCCCCCCTTCCCTCCGGCTGCCGCCTCCCCCCACCCCCCCTGCTTCCCGCACCCCTGGGACCCGGGCCCCCTCCTCCGCTGGGGTGGGGCGGGGCCCAGCGGGACTCCTCAGGCTAAATCTCAGGCTTCACTTTGCAAAGAGGGTTGCAGCTTTATTTTTGGAGAGAGACACACCTACTGCTTCTTTTATAGGAGAAACCGGGTCGCTGCTCAGCGCGGCCACGCATGGCGGCGGCCGGGGCAGGGAGGGTCTGTGATGGAGTGACTGTTCTGTATGGAGATTATGTTTATTTTCTAAATGCTGTAATTCGACACCATTTCCATAAATCTATTTACGGACTGCAGACCCCTCGTTGCCCGTGAACACGGGCGCCTTTCTCTTTCTCAGGAAGCTGGGGGCTCTGGGCTCTGGGGACAGTCCTCCCCACCAGCCCCAGGAGGAGGTGGCTCCCCATCCCCACTCATCCGTGAGGGCTGCAGTGCTCCACTGCCCCGGGACGGCTGGCCCCCCGACGCAGAGCCGGGACCTGGGGGTGAGAGGGCGGAGTCTAAGGAAGGAGGCCTGTGGTCACCCGGTGGGTCAGCAGGGAGGTCAGGACTGAGAGGCCTGGGTGGGGTCAGGAATCGGCCCTGCAAGCTAGCCTGGCACCCGTTTCCCCATCGTCTCCACCATCACCTTCTTGTCTCTGCTTTCTGAGCGCGTCCCCTCCACCCTGACAGCCCTCAGGGAGCAGCACTCCGTGCTGAGGAGGCCGAGAACCTGGGGACACTCAGGGTCTCGGCTCCGGGGACAGGCCCTCCACCCGCACCGGGCCCTGGTCTGGAGCAGGAGGAAGGCAGGGCCGCCAGGAGCCGGCATGCGGGCTGGATTGCCCACCTTGCCCTGCTCTGGGCTGCACCGAGCCTAGGAGAGGCCAGCACGCTGTCCAGCACCTCCTTATGCTTCCAGTAACGGGCGGGGGTGTGTGTGTGTGCACCTGAGCCTGGCTGCCCACCCCTACCCCCGCCCCCAGGGACTCAGGACCCCAGGGGCAGGTCACCAAGTGGAAGTCCTGGCAGGGAGCACCGAGAGCTCCCTCCCTCTCCAAGGCGGCTCAGTGGGGGGGCAGGGGCAGGAGCCACCATGCCTGGCTGTGCGGGGCCGCCCCGGGGTAGAACGGGGAAGCCCCAACCAGTCCACTCCTCCCACTGCCACTCAGCTCAGTGCACACAGCCCACACTCCCGGCCCCTGGAGGGGTCCCTCTGCCGGCCCCTTTGCGGCTCACCTGTCCCCACAGACATGCTCTCCAGCCCGCCCACATCCCCTGGGAAAACCCAGGCGGGCAGCCACCCGCCCCAGCTGGCTGTCACCCTGGCTGGGTAGGGGCACGTGGAAGAGGCTGTTAGTGTTAGGATTTCTGAAGAAGGTGATGAAGGCCAAGTGGGGGGCAGGATTGGGGGTCACACCACCCTGCTCCCCACACCATCCTGCTCCCCCAGCCCACCAGGGACCCCTTTTCCCTCCTTTCTGGGGCCCCGGGTCCCTGCTACAAGCCCATAATGGCCACCAGGGGGCGCCCATCCTCCCACCTCCTCCCCCAGTGTGGCCTGATGACCAGGGTGTTGGGGGCCACTGGGGTGCTGCCCGCAGGGGTCCCTCCGCTGTGGACGGGCCCTCCAGGTCCAGATGGTACACTGGCACAGCCACACCCGCTGGCCAGGCCCTCACCTTTGGGTTCCTTAAGGGGGTGGGTGGAGGGTTCAGACAGGATCCTAGCTCAGCAGGGGCCACAGGCAGGCAGACACCCCCCGAATGGCTCAGGGGGAGGGAAAGGGGGTCCTGATGGGGGCTGGACCCCAGGGCCAGGCCATGGAGGGTAGGCTCTGCCTGTGCTCGGGACTCTGCAGCGAGAGCTTGGGGAGGGGCAGGACCCAACGCCCCACCCATGTCACTCACGTGACCTGGAGGAGCCGGTCTCCCGCCAGGCCTCCCCAGAGCCGCCTCCTCCAGGCAGCCTTCCCGTTCCGTGGTGGCCCTGCCCCGGCCCTCACCCACGTCCTCAGAGCAGAGCCCAGGTCGGAGCCTCTCCTGACCCGGAGGCGGGAGAGACGGTTCCGGGCCTGCACGGAGCAGCCACTTAAACACGAGCAGGGCTTGGGGTCCATTTGCTCCCAAATGGCCAGGGGAGCTCAGGCTGGAGCCTGCTGGGCAAGGATGGCACCCAACACCCCAGACCCGCCCTGCCCGAGGGGCCTGCAGGTCCGGGGTCACCGAGCTGCTGAGCCGGCGGAGCCTGGGGGGCTGGGGCAGCAGTGTGGGGAGGTGGGTGGTGTGGGGAGTTGGGTGCCGGGATACAGGGGCACAGAACAGCCTGAGAGTCTGACAGGTGGTAATGCTGCCAGCGGGGAGAGCTCAGGGCTGGGGACTGTGGAGCACTCTGAGCAGGGGGCACACAGGTTTGTGGTGTGGACGCCTCGCAGGGATGGGGTGGGTGGGGCAGAGGCCAGGGTCCCTCTGCTGGGACCTGAGCGCAGTCAGAGGCAATGGCGCTTAGCCAGGCCCCCCTCTTCCCCTGCTGTCCCACCCGTCACTCAGTCACTCAGGACCCTGTCCTCGGAGGGTTCTGTGTCCTCACACTCACTGAGCCACCTGCTGCCTCTGGGAAGAGGCTGTTGGATGACCCAGACCCAGGAATGGGAGCTGGGTGGGTTCCTGGGCTGAGGCCCTCAGGGCATCGAGAGAGAGAGAGAGAGAGAGAGAGAGAGAGAGAGAGAGAGAGGAGGCCTCTGCCCTGGGCCCAGGTGGGGGTGGAGGGGAGGGGGGCAGGCCAGGGAGACCCAGGCCAGAGGAGCCCAGCAGCAGGCCCTGGGCGGGGTGTTGGGGTGAGCCCCACAGTCCCTATTGTTCGCAGTGGATGACAGGCGGCTGAGGAGGCAGCTGGCCCAGCCTGTGCTCAGGGAGGAGGGATGGACACCTGCCACTGACCCTCCTCCAAAACCGGGCCCAGGGCAGTTCTGCGAGGCCTATGCCCCACCCCCACGTGGGGCCAGGGGTGGAGACTGCGGGCCCCCGGGACTGGTACCCACCCCTCCCACAGAAATGTCTTCCATGGGCCCCCTGCCCCTTCCTGACTCCTGCCCGCTCAGGGCCATCTCCTGGCTGCCCCTCCGCTTGGGACCTGGAGGCCTCTGCCCGCCAGGCTCCTGCCCTCTGGCGCAGCCCCTACTGCAAATGGAGGCAAGGTGGGAGCGACCCCGTCTGGTCGCTGGCCAGGCGGCTCCCATGGTCACCCCGTCACTGCGCTGCCAGCCGGGGCCCAGAGTGCCCCGTCGCCCCCACCCTGCCGCCGCCTCCGCCGCAGGAAGGAGCCGGCATCCCGCAGGTGCGCTCCCGGGGATGTGCCTTCAGCCCACCCGTCACAGGCGCAGGGGTGCGACCTCGCAGAATGCTGACCAGCAAGTGGGAACTGCAGGCCCCGCCTCCGGGACCCAAAGCCCAGAATACACCGCCCCTCCCAGAGTTGGGCGCCCCCTTTTCCTCTGCACCCCGAGCACCCTAACGGGAGAGGACAGCGCCAGGCTCTTGTCAGGGCTCTGCCCTGGCCCTGGGGTGGCTGTGGGGCGGGAGCAGGAAGTGTGGGGTTAGCATCAAAGGGGTGTTTCATGTCTGCAGGGAAGTATCCAGGACCCCAAGGGCCCTGCCCTCTGCTGGGTGCACGGTCCTAATCCCATTTCCCATCACACAGCTGCACTGTCACCCCAGACGGCATGCTGTGTCACCATCCCTGCACCCATCTCCACTCCACTGGACTCCCAGTTTCCTTATCTGTGACTTGGAGATGCAGACACCTACAGAAGGAAATGCAATGCGTCCTAGGACCACAAGTGCGCAGGGCTTTATAGTTTTTCCTAGGGGCCCAGTGCACAAATTCGTGCACCTTGAAAGGAACTGTGGCCACGAGGCTGTGGTATGAGCAAGGGCAGGTCTCGGCCCATCCTCTGTGTTCTGGCCTGGCCCATCCTGCCACGGCCCCCAGGGGGCCCCCACTCACACCCACTGATGGCATGGAGCGGTTGGGGCCAGCGCTGGGTGTCAGCAGCGGCTGCTGCCCCGATAGCCTCTCAGGAGCATGGGGAGGTGGAGAAGCCCTCAGGGGCAATTGGGGACAGCAGCTGCTGCTGGCACCCACTGACCGGGCCAAGTTATTGGGACTGATGCTGGGTACTGGCAGTGGGTGGGCACAGGGCCGGTGCCAGGCAGGACCATGGCTTGTGGGAGCAAAGAATTTTCAGTAACCACCAGAGGCTCACCCTGATGACAGCAACAGGCGCTCCACCTTCTGGCACCTCCCACTCACCTACACCACCATCCCGCTGGGGCTGATGCCCACCATGTCCTGCACATGCCCCCTGTTGGTCAGCGCACATCATAGCCACCAGTTGTTCTGCTGTCTGGTCTGTTTGCATTTTAAGGTTTTATACAGATAGATGTTTTTAAGGCTGCAGCAGTGCCTCCAATTTAGAATGTCTGTGTGTGGAGAGGGGTCCAGCCACCTTGTTCCCCACATTTGGCAGCCTGCTGGTTCCATGCTCAGGACCTGCCAAGCCACCAGCAACATGGACGGTCCCCTGTATCGAGGCCAGTCCCTGGTCTGAATGGGCCAGCTTAGGGCCAGGGGCCGCCAGGGCTGATGGCCAGCTGGGAGCTTGGTGAGGCCACTCTCTTCCCCAGAAAGTGCTTTCTTGGCTCCTCCTCTAGAAATGGCCCCCCAATACACGGGAGCACGCAGGCCTCACTCGTGGGGGCCCCTCCCCACCGTGACAGCAGATCTTTGCTTCCTCCCTTTGCTGTGGGGTCCACTGGGCGCTTCAGAGACACCGCCGCCTCCGTTGTCCAGCTGATGCCCGCCAGGAGATCTGCTCTTAGGCTGCCTGCGCCCCTCCTCCAAGCCTGGGCTCCCCTGCGGTCGCGGTGTCCGGCAGCTCCACGCGAGCGCCCCGGGGCCGCCGCAGGCCCGGTGCTCTCGCGGAGCCAGTGCTTGAGCCGGCTCTGGGGAGTCAGGCTCCCCCTGCGCGGTGTGCAGCCCTGGGGCTGGCACGGCGTCCAGCCGCTCCTCCCGGCGCCCCAACGGGCTCGCGCGCAGGGCCAGGCGGCCTGCGGTCCCACCGCGCTCCGCTTCCTCTCGGCAACACGTCCGGCCGCGGCTCCCTCATTGGCTGCGCGCCCCGCGGCCGGCCATTGGCCCGCGGTCCTATTTTACATAGGCCGCCCTGGGCCAATCGGCGCGCAGCACCTACTTAACATGCACGCCGGCCACCAGTCAGCGAGCGCGGGGGCCGGGCCACCACGTGCTGTTGCTAAGCTTGGGCTTCTAAATTGTTACTAGTGCGGCGGGCCTATCCGAACCCAGCTCCGCATCTGTCAACATTCTCGGCCCAGCCCGAGGCGCTCGGCCGGCTCTCATTGGCCACGTCCCGGGCCAGCGCCCGCCCCCGGAGCACGAGTGCCGCCCCCCATTGGCTGCGCCGGCCGCCGTTCGCCCTCAAGTGTCAATTTGAGGGCCCGAAGCGGAGGGTGGCGGCTGAGCGCCCTGGGAGCCCGCGGGAGTCGGGGCAGCGGGGCCGCGGGGCGCGCGGGGCGGGCGGCGAGCGGAGCCGGCCGGAGCGGGCCGGGCAGCGGCCGCCGCCGTCCCGGAGCGCGCGCGCGGGCGGGCGGGCCGGAGGATGGAGCTGAACTCCCTGCTGATCCTGCTGGAGGCGGCCGAGTACCTGGAGCGCAGGGACCGAGGTAGCGCCCGCGCCCCTTTGTGCGCCGGGCCGCGGGCGGGCGGGCGGGCGGCGGGGCCGGGGCGGGGCCCGCTGACCGCGCCGTCTGTCTGCAGAGGCCGAGCACGGCTACGCCTCGGCGCTGCCCTTCGACGGCGACTTCGCCAGGAAGAAAACAAAGGCAGCCGGCCTGGTGCGCAAGGCTCCGAACAACAGGTACCGCCCCCCGCGGCCGTCCCTGTCCGCCGGCCCCCAGGGCCCGCCCCGGCCCGGACCTCGGCCCGCAGCCCCCGCCGCCCGCCGCCGCGCGCCCCGGCGGCCGGCCTGGAGGAGGAGGCGCCCCGGGCCGCAGCCCGGCCCCGCCCGGCGGCCCCGCCCGCGCCGTCGCCATCTTCCTGCGGCCGCGCCTCCCGGCCTCTCGCGTAAACACTGCCACGCGTACAGCCCGCGCCGCCGGGGTCTCCTCCCGCGGCCGCTCTCCGCCCCCAAGTTGTTACGGACTTTTCCGCGCAGGAAAAAAGTTCTCAGAGGGCGTTGGCCGGGGCCCCGTGGGTCCGGGGAAACTGAGGCCCGGCGCACGCGGCGTGGGGCTGGCCACCTGACCCCGGCTGGCCCCGTGGATGGGCCGCATCCCCCCCTCTGTCTCCCGAGAGGGCCCCCACCTCCAGAGGCCCGGGCAACGCGGGTGCCCAGAGGCCCTGCCCTGACCCCACGCCCCCGCGCGGTCCACGCCCTCGCCCAGCCTCGGGACACAGTGGAGGCCCTTTTTAGGGGGTGGGGAGAGGGGGCAGGCCAACGCAGGGAGCCTCCCCGCCCCCACCCAGGTGGCAGAAGCGCTGAGGCTGGGGCGCGAATCCCTGGGTGGGGGTAGTGGGGGGGTTCCCCTCTCCTGGTCACTGTGAGGACCATGGCACTCCTGGCACTGCCCCGGGGTCCGCCTTGGCCCGGATGTCACCGGGCTGGGAGCTGCACTGGTGGGGGGCTTTGGGGCCCCTGGGGGAGGGTGTGGACCCTGTCTGAGCCGGCCAGATGGGTAGAGCTGGAGCAGCAGAAAGGCTGGCACCAGGACCTGTGCCATCCTGGTGCCCTGGGCCTGGCAAGGACCTGGTTCAGTCCATCCGCCGTGGCTCGGCATTGCCTGCGTCCGGACCTTGGTCCCCTCCGGGGGCAGTCTGGGGAAGAACTTGAGTGTTGGGAGGTGGCACTGCCTCAGGTTTCAGAGAGCTAGCCCGGCCCCTGCTGCTGGCTCTCCCCGTCCCCCGTGCCCTGCCACCCAGGGGAAACTCCAGGGCGTGACGCCCGTGGCCCAGGGTGCCCCAGGCGGATCACTGGAATCACAGCGAGGCTCTGCGTGCTCCTGCGTGCTGTGCTCATGGCGCCCTCCCGGAGGAGATGGCGTTTTATCCCCTTTTCAGGCCGAGGAAACGGCACAGAGCTGGCCGCCCTCCTCCCTGGGACTCCTGGTGCACAGCGGGGTCCTAGCCTCCCACACTCTGCCAGGATGGAGCCCCGGAGGGTCTCCTGGGGCGGGGTGCACCGCCCTGCCCCTCCCCCGGTACCTGAGGCTCCAGGGGCCCCAGAGACGGTCCCTTGAGGCTGTCGTGGCCCAGATGGGCCTCAGCCAGCCCAGCACAGGGGCGAGGGCAGACCGGGGCCCAGAGGACGCAGGGCCCTGGCCTGGTGGCAATCCCACCCCTGGGTGGTGAGCGGGAGGGCGGGGTGTGGGGGCTCCAGCAAGCGCTTTCAGAGGCAGCTGGTCAGCGGGAGGGCTGGAGCCAGCTGGCCAGGGGTCAGGTCCTACAGGACACGGGCAGAAGTGCTACCTCCAGGGATGGGCAGGAGGGGCAAGCCAGGTGATGCCAGAAGTGTGTTCAGCATCGCCCTGGCCAGGGCGCCCTCCTCCCCAGGCCACGTGGCAGGCATAGCCCAGAGCAGGGTGCCCTGGGACTTGGGACCCATCTCCCCACAAAGCTCCCACCGGCGTCTGGACCAGGAGGGGCTCTGGGGCCTGTCCATCCTCTGCTCCTGAGGCGTCCCCTCCTGGCAGGGTGGGGTCCAGGGGTGGGCGTGGGGGCTTCTCTCTATGACCCCCGCACCCCCCATACGCAGGCACCCCTACAGACTCTCGCTGCCCCTCTGTGGTTCAGGCCAGCATGGGCCCTCCCAGTTCCGGGGAGGTTCCGAGGCACCTCGCCGGGTCCAGGTGACCAGCAGGCACTCGGCCCCTGGAACCTGTGCGAGGCTGCACCGGAGGCGCAGGAGCCTGCTGCCAGGAGGGAGGGAGGGAGGGAGGGAGGGAAGGAGGCCGTGAGCCCAGGTGGCGGTGGCAGGTGGCAGAGGTGGGTGGGATGGGGAGGCACTCCACCCCACGGGTGATGCCTGGCCGAGGTCCCGGGGCAGGAGAGACAGGGCAGGCAGGCAGAGGTCAGCAGACGCTCAGGCGCGGGGCTGGGCTGGGCTGGGCTGCCCCAAGGTGGCCTGGCGCTCTGCTCACGTGAGGCAACCTGGCAGCCCGGGAGCCCCGTCTGGCCCGAGAGGTCCCTGTTGAGACTGGGGGAGGGAGGGTGACTTGGCACTGCCCACTGCGGTGCTCGGGGTTCTGTGTCCCTGTGCGGATGGCGGTGGGGAGAGCTTGAGCGGCAGATGGGGCCTCTGCCCCCCCTCCCCCCCGAGAGGCTGAGCTCGGGCCCAGGGTGGCCGCTTCGCTGGACCGCACCCCAGAGGGGAGGGGAGGCTGGCTTTGGTCTCCCCACCGCCCGCTGGCACATCTCAGAGGTTCCCTCGTGGGCCGGTTCCTCGGGGGCTGGGTCCGCTCTGTCCATGGGTGTCCGCTGGAACGGGGCTGTGGTGAGCACATGTGTGAGCTGAGCAGGTGGGATGGTGTCTGGCCTCGGGGAGAGGGGAGCAGAGAAGGCAGGCAGCTCAGTGCCCGGACGGGGCTCAGGGACCCGCCTCAGGAGTACAGGGGGGTGTCGGCTCCAGGACCGGCTGCCACGGCCTCCTGGGCCCCCACCCTTTCGAGAGCAGGACCTGGACCCTCCTGCAGCCAGGCCTCACCTGCCGCACTGTAGGCGAGCCAGCTGGCCCTGGGCCCCCGGACATGGCTTACTCCTGAGGGGCCTGTCCCCGGCCCCGGTGCTGAGTCCCTCCAGCCTTTGGCCTGAGGCTACTCACCTGCCCAGCCCTCCCTGCCCCAGGCGGCCTGCAGGTGCCCGTGCTCCGGGGATGGCAGTGCAGTGAGTTCTGTTTTCTGTCTCTCTAAACAGGTCTTCACACAATGAACTAGAAAAGCACAGGTAAGTGACCCCTCTCCCCACCTCCAGTCTCTGCTGGGGGCTGTGTCGCCTCCCCCCTCCGCTCACTGTGCCCCGGGGAGGGCCGACTGTGCCACCGGCTGTGGGATGTTCTGGAAGGAGGAGGCCGGGCTCTGAGGCCGGGGTGGGGCCCAGGCCTGGGGGCTCTGCCTGGGTCCAGCGCCAGGTCAGGGGGGCGGGGGGCGGGGACCTGGGGCAGGGTCCCGTGTGCTGTGTGGCAGTTAGGCAGCTCCCGGGAGGAGGAGATCCGTCTGCTTTGGGGCATGTAAGCCTGTTTGGGGGTGAGCCTTCAGTCCTAAGAATGCTGGCCTCCGCCCAGGGTAGTCAGCCCTCTTGATTTGGAGCCCCTTCTTGCCCCTGGGACCCCCTGCCCCTGGGACCCCCTGCCCCTGGGGCCCCCTGCCCCTGGGACCTCCTGCCCCTGGGACCTCCTGCCCCTGGGACCTGCCTCCCAAGGAGCCTCCTGCAGAGGCTTGTCTGCAGGGCAGTGGGGCAGGCAGCCAGGCCCCAGCCACGTGGGCCCAGGGTGGAACCCGGGAGCTACCTCATGCCCACCCCCTGGTCCACAGGGTCCAGGTCCTCCTGGAGGAGGGGCCTTGGTCCCTGAGAAGCAGGAAGGGCAGTGGGTCACCATGGAGTCTCCTCGCTCAGCCTGTCTCCCGAGCCCACACCTTCCCCTCTCGGGCATCCATGCCCTGGCTGCCGCCTGGCTGCAGGCCTCCCTCTGGCCACAGGGTCTCTGTGACCTCTGTGACCTTGGGCCTGCTCCGCAGTGGGGACGAGGCACTGGCACGCTTGGCCCCTGCATGCGGTGCCCTCTGGGCTGATCTCAGGGGCGTGTGTAGGCACAGAGGTCCCCCAGGCAAGAGCCCTGATGCCAGGACCAGGGACGAGCCCCAGGGACTCTGTAGACGCTGTCTCCTGACCTTTGCTCTCATCTGTGCAATGGGCCAGCTCTTTCCTCCCTTCTTGGGTTGGAGTGTGGGGAGGAGGGAGGGGTCTGCATTCCAGTTGAACCTTCCCGGCCTGCTCTGGGAAGGTTTGGAGCGAGGCCAGTTCTCTTTGTCCCCCCCAACCCCTCCCCCTTCCACAGCCAAGGCAGCGCCAACTTCCGCTCCCCCGGGACCGGGCCTGCTCTGGGCGGGTGCTGGGTAGGGACAGGACACCGTGTTCTCTGGAGGAGCTGCACTTCCTGGACTGGCCCTGTGTGTGTGTGCGTGAGGGGCTCCAGGGCCATGGAGGTGGGGCAGGTGCAGGGCCCAGACAGCCCGGCGGGCCCCGCGGTTGCTGCCAGGCTGGGGGAGGTGGCCGGGACGGGGACCCGGGAGCCTAGGCAGGCAGGCGGGGTGCTCTGGGAAGGCTTGCTGGGGGGGTGCCTAGGCCAGCCCTCAGTGTGGACAGACAGAAGGGATGACACGGGGGATGGAGAGGCCAAAGGCATGGTAGCTCTTCCAAGGAGGACAAGGGCTTTGACCCCTGCAACCGCCCCTTGACCCTGACCTTGGCCTGGGACACCTTGTTCCAGAGCCCGCCCTTAGGCTGAGCCTCGTGGGGCCCTTCTGAGACAGAGGCAGGATGGGCAGGCGGCCTGGCCAGCTGGCAGGTGTGCACGGCCCTGGGGAGCCCACGGGCCCGGAGCTTGGGATCCTGGCGGGGACCTCGGCCACGGCTGTACCTGCGGCTGCCGGCGCTGACGCCAGATGCGCCTGGCACCGGCCGCAGGAAGGGCTGAGTGCCGTCCTGTCCTCAGGAAGGAAGGAAGCACCTGGCGGGGGCGCCCCGCTGCTCCCCGGGGCGGCGTGGACGTCTCCTTCCCCGGCGGTGTGCCTGCGGGGCCTGCGGGGGCCAGCCTGGCCCTCCTCCTGCCTCCCAGGCTGCAGCTCCGGTGCGTCTGAGGCTGATGCTTGGCCACCAGCCCCGGAGGCCCGCGGTCCTGGAGGCCACGTGTTCCCTGACGGGGTGGCCCCGGCTTGTGTGGAGCGGTAGGGCTCACCCCAAAGGCCGGCCCAGGCCCCCAGTCAGACCCTGCCGCCTCTCCCCGCATGGAGTGCAGGGTGGGGGTCCTCCCGGGCAGCCACAGGCGGCCTCCGTGCACCTCACAGCTGGAGAATGCAGCTGAACAGAGGGGAGAACGGGGCATGTTCATCCCCCGCTCCCCCCCCCCCCCGTGCATTTCCTTCTGGGATAGCCAGGCCTGCGGTGCTCAGAGCACAGACGGCTGGGACCAGCCCCTTGGGCTGGCGGAGCTCCATGCAGCTCGGGGCCTCCTTGGAGGAGCAGGGCTTGCGGGGAGGAGCTAGGAAGGGCCGGTCAGGACCGGGCTGTGGCGGCCACAGGGATGGAGAGCTGTTCACAGGATGCAGTGACTCCCGTGCAGCCCAGGCTGTGGGATCTCGGTACCGCCCGCCAGCAGACCTGGGGATGCCCACTGCCCGCGGGGATGGGACACAGGGACCTGCTCAGGGCCCCACAGCCAACCCTCCTGGCACCGTGGGCACATAAGCACGGCACAGCGTGGGGGGGGGGGGCCCTCTCTCTGTCTCTAAAGAAATGCCTGCCTTGTGGATGATGCTCAGGGACCTCCCTTGAGCCCCGCCCCCAGCTGTCCCAGGCCTCCCCGCCAGGCGCGCACTGACCCGGGTGAGAGCCGATCTTGTTATCCGCTGCTGCTCACTGGGCCTTTCCCCTGACATACCTGAGCATTGCCCCCACTGCCCCCGCCCGGGCTCCCTCCACCTCCTCCTTGTCCTGGTGCCGTGGACAGGCAGCTTTCCCCGGGCTCCTCGCCTGGCCTCTGGTTCCCACTGTCCCCCCGGAGGTGGCTCTGTGGGACCCACCCGGAGTAGGAACGCGCGTTAGATGTTTGAGGCGCTGCGGCGGCCTTTGGGGACCCCCCCCCCCCCCCCGCCAGCGACGCCTGCAGGGCCCACGAGAGTCACCGCCCCGTCTCCACCAAACTAGTGCCTCCTCAGGCGCCCGCTCTGTGTCGGTCAGCCGTCTCTGTTCGCTCCGTGCCTGTTTGTATCCTCTGCCCCGTTTCACACCCAGATCCCTCCTTCCGTTCGGCTGTGTACGAGCTCCGATGTCACGGCGCTAACCGTTTGTCGTTTGTATGTATGGCCGATATCTCTCCACTGTTATTTGTCTTTTGGCTGTGTTTTTCCTTTCTTGTACCAATGTGTCTTTTTCTGATTGTAAAAGTAACATGGCTTTTTTTTAGCCTGAAAAACCTGGAACACATACACACACACACACACACACACAGCGTAGAGCCAGAGAAATAAACGTTGCCAACGCCTCCCCTGGAGACGCGCGCCTCCTCTCTTCATTGTGTCCTGTCCAGTCTCTGTGTGCGTCTGCTGTGTCCGTCCTCGCCGTGTCGGCGGCTTCCTCCCGCGCCCCCCGGGGGGCACACGTAGGACATCGGGAAGGACGGTCTGTGGAGTGTTGGGGGGTGGACCTTGGGGATACTTGTCCACTTATGTTTTCCTGCTGACTTACATTTGCTAGTTTTCACCAAGGCCACATCCTGAGTGTAAGGCCGGGGCGGGGAGTGCCCAGCCCGCGGGCCCGATGAAGCCCCAGAACCCTGTGGTCTGGCCCTGCCGAGGCCGGAGGGGAGTCAGGAAGGGTTGACAGACATGGCAGGCGTGGCCGAGAGGGATGTCCCCGCATTCAGGCGGCCTGGCCGGAGAAGGTGCCCGGGAGGCTATAAGAACTGCCGTTCGTCCCCGAAGAGTGGACGAGGGCACCCCACTTGCCCACGGGGCGAGCACGCTGGCTCCTGAGCGGTGAGGAGGCGAAGTCCTCGGACTCGGGGGGCGGGGAGGGCAGGGATTGTGCGCAGCCGCTGGGGCCCAGAGGCGCCCACCTATTGAGCCCTTCTCCAGCCCTGCGCCACGGGGGGCCATGGCCCTCTGAGGGTCCCGGCTGCTCTGCACACCGCCGGCCGCAGGGTGGCTGCCGAGGCCCGGCTGCTCGTGGCCCGGTGGCTGAGCCGGCACAGCCTCTGCCCTGCGTCCTGACCTGGTTTCACGGGAGAACTTCCAGCCCCAGGGTGCCCGATGGGGCGCTGCTCCGTCTGCAGGGGGTCCCGTGTGGACGGGTGACGGGTCCGTGTGGACGGGGTGACTGGTCCTGTGTGGTTGGGTGACGGGTCCGTGTGGACGGGTGACGGGTCCCGTGTGGACGGGTGACGGGTCCCGTGTGGACGGGTGACGGGTCCGTGTGGACGGGTGACGGGTCCCGTGTGGACGGGTGACGGGTCCTGTGTGGTTGGGTGACGGGTCCCGTGTGGACGGGGTGACTGGTCCTGTGTGGGTGGGTGACGGGTCCCGTGTGGTTGGGTGACAGGTCCGTGTGGACGGGTGACGGGTCCCGTGTGGACGGGTGACGGGTCCCGTGTGGACGGGTGACGGGTCCCGTGTGGACGGGGTGACTGGTCCTGTGTGGGCGGGTGACGGGTCCCGTGTGGTTGGGTGACAGGTCCATGTGGTTGGGTGACGGGTCCGTGTGGACGGGTGACGGGTCCGTGTGGACGGGGTGACTGGTCCTGTGTGGTTGGGTGACGGGTCCGTGTGGACGGGTGACGGGTCCGTGTGGACGGGTGACAGGTCCCGTGTGGTTGGTTGACAGGTCCATGTGGTTGGGTGACGGGTCCGTGTGGACGGGTGACGGGTCCCGTGTGGTTGGGTGACGGGTCCCTGTGGACGGGGTGACAGGTCCGTGTGGACGGGTGACGGGTCCCGTGTGGACGGGTGACAGGTCCGTGTGGACGGGGTGACGGGTCCCGTGTGGTTGGGTGACAGGTCCGTGTGGACGGGTGACAGGTCTGTGTGGACGGGGTGACTGGTCCTGTGTGGTTGGTTGACAGGTCCATGTGGTTGGGTGACGGGTCCGTGTGGACGGGTGACAGGTCTGTGTGGACGGGTGACGGGTCCCGTGTGGTTGGGTGACGGGTCCGTGTGGACGGGTGACGGGTCCTTGTGGACGGGTGACAGGTCTGTGTGGACGGGTGACGGGTCCCGTGTGGTTGGGTGACGGGTCCGTGTGGTTGGGTGACGGGTCCGTGTGGACGGGTGACAGACAAGGCCGGGCTGCGGGCGCCCTCCTCCCAGGGTCTGGGCTCAGCAGGCTGGGTCACGGAGGTGAAAGGGGGAGCGGCCGGTGGGTGCTCCCAGGGCCCCGGCCCCTCCGCTCCGCTCCAGACAGGGTGGCCTGCGCGGTGCGGGGCAGGCGGGGCCCACGGGTGGCATCCATCCGGGCGCCCCTGCCCTCCCTGGACTGGATGAGCAGGACGGGCAGTGTCTGGGGGCGTGGATATGGGGGTGTGGCCTGAGGGCCTGACACCTCTGAGCCCTGTGCTCCCGTTTTGTGGAGAAACTGCCCTCATCTGCATGGAGATGGGCGAACTCTGAAGGAAAGCAGTCCCCCCCCACTGCGGGATGCCAGCTGGGCGGGGGGTGGGGGGGATCCAGGCCTCCACCTCCCTGGCCAGATGGGCTCATGTTTCTGTGGTGGCAGAGTGGCCAGTGAGCACCCCGCACCTGGCCAGGTGGGGGTGTAAGTCTGAGGCCCTGGATCTCTGGGCAGCTGACCATAATCCCCCTCCAGGCTGCCCCCTTCCCCTTCAGGCTGCTCCTGCCCCACTCCAGGCTGCCCCCCCTTCAGGCTGTCCCCCTGCCCCCCTCCAGGCTGTCCCCCTGCCCCCCTCCAGGCTGTCCCCCTGCCCCCCTCCAGGCTGTCCCCCTGCCCTCCCCTCCAGGTTGCCCCCCTGCCCCCCTCCAGGCTGTCCCCCTGCCCCCCTCCAGGCTGTCCCCCCCTTCAGGTTATCCCCTGCCCAGCTCCGCAGGAGATGGTGACAGCTGGGTGCTTGGGCAGTGCCCTGGCCATGGGTCCTCTTTTGCTGGGGCGCTGGAGGCCGTGTGTGGGTCTGTCCTGAGGCCTGGGGCTGCGGCAGCTGGGACAGGGCACTCAGCAGGGCCGGGGGAGGCTAGCCGCTGCCGGAGCCCGGCCGGCCTGACGGTCTCTCCGGCCCTTTCAGACGAGCCAAGCTCAGGCTCTACCTGGAGCAGCTGAAGCAGCTGGTGCCCCTGGGCCCCGACAGCACCCGCCACACCACGCTGAGCCTCCTGAAGCGCGCCAAGACGCACATCAAGGTGAGCAGGCCTGCCCTCGCTCCCGCCCTGCCGGCGCCACCGCCCTGCCCGGCGTGGCTGGCCCGTCCGGCCCTGTGCACCTGGAAGCAGGCCCACGGCCCGAGGGGGGTGGGGGCTGCTCGGCAGGTGCACGCTGGGGGGTGGGGGGGTTAAAAGGGGGGGGCAGCTCCAGGGGCTGCCAAGGGGTGAGGGTGTCAGGGCACGCGCTGGGTTTTGTTGGGGAGATGGGGGGAGGGTGACAGATGGCCCTCCGGGGCCTGGGCTGCGGAGGTGGGGCCAGGAGGGCAGGGTGCCTTTGATGCTGGGAGGCCCGTGGGAAGCAGGTGCCCAGTGGTGGTGGGGGGGCTTCTGGGGACCAGGCTGGCTGTGGGTGTGGCTGAGGGAGGCATTGCCTGGGGCAGGCCCCAAGGTCTGAGACAGAGACCCCCAGGCTCTGGGGTCCTGTGGCACGTGGGCCAACCAGGGTGGTCTTAGTTCCCTTGCAGGGCCCCTGGGGCATAGAGTCCTGGGCACCCCAGGCAGGGTAATGGGAGCTGTGAGAGGCGCAGGGTGCCCGGGGGCCGTCCAAGCAGGCAGGCTTGGTTCAGGGGCTCAGGGGCAGGTGTGGTGAGGGGAAGTGACCAGGAGGGCCTGTGGGTGCCCTGTGAGCGGGGAGAGAGGCGGCGGCAGTGCTGTCCTCCGGGAGGAAGTGCCAGCCCGCCTGGTGGCCCTGTCCCAGGGCGTCCAGCTCCCCGGGGGCTTGGTGGCCACGCTGGCTGGTGGCTGTGGGGCTCTGGCTGGTGGGACCTAACGTGACCACCTGGAGGGCTGAGGCCGGGGCACATCACCGTCGGGGCCCTGGGGCCCCGGACCCAGGCCAGTGGGGAACGGGGAAGCTGCCCCGGCCTCGGTGCCCCCTGCCCGGGTCCCACAGGGGGTCCCCGGGCTCACGGCTCCCCCGCCTCCAGAAACTGGAGGAGCAGGACCGCAGGGCGCTGAGCATCAAGGAGCAGCTGCAGCGAGAGCACCGCTTCCTGAAGCGGCGCCTGGAGCAGCTGTCGGTGCAGAGCCTGGAGCGCGTGCGCACGGACAGCACGGGCTCCGCCGTCTCCACGGACGACTCGGAGCAAGGTGGGCGCAGCCTCCCGCAGCCCCGCGGGGCGGGGCCGGGGTGGGGGCGGCCAGGAGGCAGCCTGAGGGAGTGGGGTGACGGCAGTGGGCAGCGGGTGCCGGAGACTGTGTGTCCCCGGGCCGTCCGGACACCTGGCGTGCGTGCGGGGGTGACGGGTGGAGAGGGCGGCTGACCTGCCCCCTGAGGCCGTGTGCTCCGGGCCGAGGCCCAGACCTGCACCGTCTCCCCTGCACCCCCTGGAGCCCCTGTCCCCCCCAGAGGCAGAGACCTGCCCTGACTGCCGGGAGCCCCGCTGGCAGCCTCAGGGCCCGACCCCGTCTTCCCTGCTTCCCCAGAGGTGGACGTGGAGGGCATGGAGTTCGGCCCCGGCGAGCTGGACAGCGTGGGCAGCGGGAGCGACGTGGACGACCACTACAGCCTGCAGAGCGACGGCGGCTACGGGCCTCCCCGGCGCCGGCGGCCGGCCCGCCCTCGCCTCTCGTAGGCCCGGGCCCGCGGCTCCTCGGCCTGCCTGCCGCCCAGCCACGTACGCCACCCTCCGGTCCTCAGCCTCTGGGTCACTGCTGTGCCACTCGGGAAGCTCCCGCAGCTCCGGGGCTGCCACCTCCCTGCCCGCCCGCCCGCCCGCCGGTCAGGGCCATCTCGCCGCCCGCCCCTCCCCGCCGGGCAGGGACCCCTGCAGGGAGCGGGCCCAGCTCCCGAGCTCCGGAGCCCAGCGGAGCCACCCGTGGTCTGTTCTCAGATTCCTAATCATTCCAGAAGTATTAAATGTCGTTGCTGCAAACCTCGGCGGGCGCCGTGTGAGGGGCTTACTGACCACGTGGGCAGCTCCGACCCCACCCCCGGCCCCAGGAGGAAGGAGTGGACTGAGGAAGGAAGGAAGGCGTGGCTCTCCATCCATCTGTCCATCTGTCCGTCGTCCACGTAGGCTCCTGAAGCCTGGTCAGAGAGAGCCATGAGGCGGGACGCGGGTGAGCACCCCGGACAGGGGGCGGGGAAGGGCCTTGGTACCCTGAGGGTGTCCGGAGCCCGGGCTGGGCTCCCGGGGCAGGCCAGGGCGCCCCCCGCCCCCCGGGGAGCTTCGGCTTCGTTAGGCACCTCGTCACGTCCTCCCGCCTGCACACATGCACACACGCACGCACACGTGGCCTCTGGACCCGGAGGTGCCTGGGACCCCGAGGTCACCGGGCAGCAGTGGCCCTGCCTGTGCCCGGCTCCCCTCCCACGGGAGATGCCTCCTCAGGCTGCTCGGTGTGCTCGGGGGCGCAGGGCCTCGGGACCGCTGGTCTCCCGGTTTACAGGAAGGCCGGAGTCAGAGCGGCTCCCTGCCCAGCAGCCCGAGGCCGGGAGAGGCTGCGGGAGGCCGGGCCGGTGGGGAGGAGCGGCTCCCAGGACTCGGGCGGGCTGCCCACGCCGCCTCTGTCTCCAGAACCAGATTTTTGTACTCTATTTTCCTAGTCGTGGCTCGCTGTTTGCGGAGGGGGGAGTGACCCGGCGTCTCAGGGACTGGTCCGTCCGTCACCACTGTCCGAGTGTGCCTTGTGTCCTGTGTCAGGCCCCGCCCCGGCCGCCACCACCAGCATCTCCCTCCCCCGTGCCCGGCAGGTGTCCTCCCCTCTCCGCCTCCTCCTGGTCAGGGCTGCTCTCTGTCGCCCTGGCGGGGGGAGCTGTGACCGGATCCCCGTGTCACCCTGCTGTGCAGCGTGGCCTCCGGTCCGGACGGCCTGTCACAGAGACCGAGGGTCTCACCAGATTGAACCCCCTGCCCCCCTGCCCAGGGCGAGGGCCCTGGTTCCGACATCGGCAGCTGATGAAGATGGCATCCTCCCCGGGGGTCAGGCCTTTCATTCTTACGTCCTCGTCCCCAGGGACCGCACAGCAATACTTGGGGGCGGGCGGTGGGGCCAACCCACAACGTGTCTCCTCCCTCTCCGGTGCATTGTAACCACTTTGCCAACCACATGTATCTCCCGTCCTGCCGGCAGACACCCCCGCGGGTGGCCTAGCTGAGGCAGAAAGGGGTCCCTGGAGACACGTCCTTCTGGCACAGAACCTGCCCTCCGAGGCTCGGGATGGTGGGTGCATGTGGGCCCGTGGGGTCGGGGCTGGAGTCATAGGAAAACCCGTCTGCCGGCACCTCCTTCCCGCTGAACTGGGCCCCCGGAGGCATCGCCATCTGCCTGAGCGTGTCCTCCGGGCGACAGGGCAGGAGCCCCCGCAAGTCCACCCCAGGGACGGTCCTGACCTCTTACAGCATCAGCTCCCCACCCACCCCCACACCTGGAGGCTCTGCTCCCGCCTCTGCCGCAGCATCCTGTCCCGTGACCAGTCCTGGCCCCGACCACCTGACTGGCAGCTTCACCCATGGCTCCTCAGCCATGGTTCCCAAGGGGGCCGGGAGGTGGCCTTGCTGGCCATCAAGGTGCTGTCCGCACCTGCAGACATGAGGGGTGGCCCTTGGGGACAGGCCGGGTGCTCGGAGTCACATCCATTACCCTCCCTCCAGCTCCCCGCATGTGCCCAGGCCGGCTTGGCGGGTGGCCATGGTGCCCGGACTGGCCCTGCTGAGGCCTGCTGGGTTGCTGAGAGCACACCTCAGCGTTGTCCGGGCTCCATAAAGCCAGCGTGACCAGCACTGGGCCTCCAGGGGTGCCCGCGCCCTCTCGTGCCCTCCCATGCCCATGCGGGCCACTGTGGCACTGGGTGGCTGAAATCTTTAAACCCCAGGCTCAGGTTTGGGCCCCCACCCTCCTGGCCACCACCCCAGGGTGGGTCCAGCGGGCCGAGGAGGCTGCCGGCAGCTCCCCCTCCGAGCCTGGGCCGCCTCTGCATATTCGGTTTAAGAGGCCCAGTGCCCGAGCCTCCTTCCTGGGCAGATGGAGCCCTGTGCCCGACCATGGCCCCGAGGGCCCCCCTCCTGTCTGCCCAGGTAATCCCCGTCTGCTGGGCGAGGCAGGCTCCGCCACTCGCTCCTCCCTCCTCCTCTCGGGGCCAGCTAACCGGGGCCCCCTCCCCACCTCTGTGCTTATAGGACTGGCCCCAGGCCACATCCAGGGCACGAGGGCAGGTTCCGTGCCAGGGTCTGGGGCTGCCCGGAGGCCTGGTGCTGGCCAGGTGGGCACATTACGAGATCCTCACTGGAGAGAGAGGGGTCATTCATCCACTGCTCATGGGAGGGGCTGTGCTGTATCGTCTGTCTTTGTAATATAAATACAGATTTTTATACCTCATCCCTCTGGCTTCTAGTTCTTTCCATGCCCGTGTTTGACTCTCTCCCCCGCCTCTGGAGGGAGCCTCTGGGCCATCACGCCCTGCCCAGGGCCTTGGCTTCATGACACCTGATGGACCCTGGGCCTCCCACCTGCTGCTGGCCACTACCTAGACCCCACCCCTCAGCTGCCTCCCTGGACAGTCACAGCTGCACTTTGTTTTCCTTCTTTTTAATATGTTTTTATTGATTTCAGAGAGGAAGGGAGAGGGAGAGAGAAGCGTCAGTGATGAAAGAGAATCATCCATCAGCTGCTTCCTGAATACCTCCTACCGGGAATCGAGCCTGCAACCCAGGCATATGCCCTGATGGGGAATTGTTCCGTGACCTCCTGGTTCATAGGTCGATTAAAAAAAATTATTTTATTTATTTTTCATTGATTTCAGAGAGGAAGGGAGGAGAGAGAGAGAGAGAGAGAGAGAGAGAGAGAGAGAGAGAGAAACATCAGTGTTGAGAGGGTTGGCTGCCTCCTGCACACCCCCTACTGGGGATAGAGCCCACAACCCAGGCATGTGTCCTTGACCCCAGTCGAACCCAGGACACTCTAGTCCATAGGTCAATGTTCTATCCACTGAGCCAAATCGGCTAGGTCAGTGGTCAGCAAACTGTGGTTTGTGAGCCTCATGCAGCTCTTTGGCCTCTTTTGAGTGTGGCTCTTCCACAAAATACCACGGCCTGGGAGAGTCTATTTTGAAGAAGTGGCATTAGAAGAAGTTCAAGTTTAAAAAATTTGGCTCTCAAAAAAAATTTCAATCGTTGTACTGTTGATATTTGGCTCTGTTGACTAATGAGTTTGCTGACCACTGGGCTAGGGCAATATATTTTTGTTTGTTTGAGAGAGAGAGGAAGGGAAAGGGAGAGAGAGAAACATCAATGATGGAAACTTTGATCAGCTGTCTCCTGTGTGCCCCCTACTAGGCATTGAGCTCGAAACTGGGCACGTGCCCTGATTGGAATTTACCTCCTGGTTCATAGATGTATGCTCAACCACTGAGCCATCCTGGCTGGGCTGCGGGGGACAGCTTGGTCCCTACGGTGCTCCATGCTGCCAGGTGTCCTCAGTGGTGCCCTTGGCCTGCCTCCATGTGCCCATCTGCACAGCAGCTGCTGGCCCGCTGGACACCCCTGAGGCACCCTTCTTGGATCTGTCCTCAATATCCCGTCCCGGAATGCCCTAGACACGGCCTCTGCCTCCTGTCCTTGGGACCTGCGGTGTGGGGAGGGCTGTGAGGACCCCAGCAGAGGACAGCATTTCTGACCCCCCAGAGGGAGGGAGAGCTGGGCACCAGAACCCGGCTGCCACCCTGGACACGCAGCCACAGCAGAGGAGATGGCTGGAGGAGACCCACTGGCAGCTTTGGGGTTTTTGGGTGGGGGGTGGGGGGAATCCGTGTCCCTCCTCCCTTCCACAGCTACTCTGGCCTCTTCTGCCCATGTGGGTCCCTCTAAGGCACCCGAGAAAAAGAGGGCCTTCCTACGGGGTGCAGCTATCGTCCACATGTAAAGGGGGCGTTTGGGTTCCAAATGTTAGTGACCCACAGTCACCACTTCCTCACTCGGCAGGTTCACGTGACCAGCACAAACCCCATCTCCCCTCTTCAGGCCTGGCTCCCAGCAAGCAGCCCCATGGGGGACCCCGATCCATCTGCTAGGCAGCCAGAAGGACTTCTGTTCTTGTTGCCCAGTCACCTCCGGTGTGACTCCGGCATCTACTCCCTCCCATCCACTCTATTCCCCCACCTGAGCCACTCCCCGCTCTTCTGTCCCTCTGCACCCACCAACCCTCCCCAGCTCAGCCTATGTCCCTTCCCGTCCCATTTTGGCAGGGATTATGGCCATGCAGACAGGGTACTGGTCTAACTAAGGCTTATCCAGAAGAGGCTGCCGGCTCCTTCATTCCTGGTGCTGGTCCAGGCCCCGGACACACTGGCCCCATGGCGTCTTCCCAGAATGTAACTGGGATTGTGCTGCTAGCCCATTTGGCTCCCAGTGGCTCTCAGCCCCTCCGAGCTCAGTGCCTGCTGCCTCCTCATGCTGTCCTGAGGCTCTTTATGCGACCACATCCCCCCTCCCAGCTCCTCTGCTGCCTGAGTCCCCCCCAAAGCCATCCTGGACACACACACACACACACACACACACACCAACCTCTCAGGCCATCTTGGTGAGCCCCCGAGTTTGAGGACTGAGGGTTCGCTTCTGTCCCCTGAATATTAGCGTGATGGAAGACAAACTCGGCCCATCTCCTGCACCCGCAGAACAAGCCTGCCTTCAGCCCCCTCAGTATCGGAAGGCAGGCAGGGAGAAGGGCCGCTTTCTTGTTCGGCTGGAAACCGAGTCACCCAGCCATGTGCTCTCTGGCTGGCTCTCTGCCCCTCTGCCCACGTGCCCTATCAGCCCCCTCTTCTCTCCCCAGTGCACCAGGCTCCCCTGTATCTGCCTCTTGCCACTTTTCGTCAATTTTGCTGCAGAACCAAGCTTTTTCTCTTTTAAAAAAATTTTTTATGACATCTGAGGGGAAGGGTGAGAGAGAGAGAAACATCAATGATCAGAGAGAATCACTGACTGGCTGCCTCCTGCGAGAACCTGCCTGTGCCCTGACCAGGAATTGAACTGTGACCTCCTAGTTCATAGATCGAAGATCAACCACTAGTTCATAGATCGAAGATCAACCACTGAGCCACGCCTGCCAGGCCAGATCAAGCTTCTAAGAGTCTCAGCATGCTGCCCCCTCACCCCACTGATTGAAGGATGGAGCCCTGCCATCATCCCTGAAAACGACATCTAAAACCAAAAGCTCCTTAACATCAGACTGCAGGTTAAACACATGTGAAAAGACATCGTGTGGGCCGAGACCGGTTTGGCTCAATGGATAGAGCGTCGGCTTGGGGACAGAAGGGTCCCAGGTTCGATTCCGGTCAAGGGCATGTACCTTGGTTGCGGGCACATCCCCAGTAGGGGGTGTGCAAAAGGCAGCTGATCGATGGCACTCTCTCATTGATGTTTCTAACTCTCTATCTCTCTCCCTTCCTCTCTGTACAAAATCAATAAAATATATTTTTTTAAAAAAGAAAAAAAACGAAAAGACATCGTGTGAAACCCAACGCGCTTTTAATATCCGTAGGAGAAAGACTCCTGCAGTGACACCCTGACACTGCAGCTCCATTCAGGTCTACTACGCGTGTTCCTGGGGTGGGGGCGGGAATCATCCCTCCCCGGGGGTTTTTGAAGGGGGTAGTTTGTCCTGGAAGTAAGTGTAATGAATTTCTGTCTTTGCTTCCCTAAGTTCCAAGTGCAACCTCAAATGCAGACTTGCCCTAATAACTCAAGGTTGCAAACGACCTTTCCAAGTCTATAGAGTTGAACCTATTGTTTTGTCATTTGTGCTCTGGAGACTGATCCATTGGTTTTTACTTTATATTTTTATGTTTGGGACTTTTGTTTATAGTGGTGTGTGTGTGTGTGTGTTTTGGCCCCACTAACATCTTCCAAACAATTAACTACGGTCAGTAATTCAAAATCACATGGAGAATTTGTGGCCCCAAGAAATGAACCAGGGATCATTAGGAAAGTGGGCTTCTAGAACAACCTCCTGTGCTTGGGGTCTCCCCCTCCTGTCCCACGGGGATCTTGTTAGCATCTTCTGTGTTCTCTGAGTTCCTCCTCACTGTCTATAAATATCCCTGAGTTCCTCTCATCTTAAAACAAAACAAAACCCAAACCCTCCCCCCAGCTCTGCATTCCCACCCCCTCATTGCAGTCTTCCTGCTCCTCCTCTCTCTCTCCTTCAGTCTTTGCCTCCTCAGCAAAGTTTCTTGAAGGCACTGCCTGTACCGCCTGCACTTCCTCCTTACAAGCCGGCTGAGCTATCTCCTGCCCCAGAACAACCACGGACCCGGTCCCACTGCTGGCTGAGGGGTCCAGGCTCTAACCTAGCCTCGCAGCTCACCTGCAGGCCCGTCTCTCCGCTGTAACCTCCCCGCAGCAATTGTTTTCCAGATCATTTACGCCTTTATTGTCTGTTAGAAGACAAGGATAGAAAAGTAAAACAAATGGATTAACAGAAAGTGTCCTCAACTCAAGATTAATTTGTGGTATGTGCCTTTGGACAGCCTTTTTTCTCTCCTTAAATGCATTAGGAAAGATTATCTGCTCTTCCCATCGCACACTAGCGCTGTGGTCACAAACTGCGGCTCTTTGGCCCCTTGAGTGTGGCTCTTCCACAAAATATTATACCACGGCCTGGGCGAGTCTATTTTGAAGAAGTGGCGGTAGAAGAAGTTTAAGTTTAAAAAATGTGGCTCTCCAAAGAAATTTCAATCGTTGTACTGTCAATATTTGGCTCTGCCGACTAATGAGTTTGCCGACCACTGCACTGGGACGTAGCCTAACAATCCACCTTAATTCTTTGGAGTGGAGAGAAACCTTGCATATTTAGCGTTGGTTTATAAAAGATAGGTAAATTTAAAAAAAACATGATTTTTTTGGGCCTGGCATGGATGAAAATGAGCCCCGTCCACTACAGTGAGAACTCCCAAGGTCTGGGTTCATTGGACAGGAGGCCATCAACCAGGTTGGGTTTGCATGGAACTTGGCAGCCTCATTTCAGCGCTCTTTCCTTCACTGACTACACTGCCTGCTTCTGGCCTCCTCCAGAAATGGAGTTCCATCCTGAGGTGAAAACGTCTTAAAGGGCATGTCTAGGAAAAGGGGTTGTGGAGGAAGTCGGCTTTTGCTCAAAGGTCAGGCGAGGGCTGATCCTCAAACTGCTTTTGCAAAGTAAGGCTCATCATGAGAACTCTAACCGGTGCGGCTCAGTGGATAGAGCGTCGGCCTGGGGACTGAAAGGTCCCGGGTTCGATTCCGGTCAAGGACATGTACCTTGGTTGCGGCCACATCCCCAGTGGGGGGTGTGCAAGAGGCAACTGGTCGGTGTTTCTCTCTCATCGACGTTTCTAACTCTCTCTCCCTCTCAATTCCTCTCTGTGTAAAATCAATAAAAAAAAAAAAAAGACTCATCATGAGATTGTAACCCCCAGGCACCGCTTCAAACTCAGGAACCGCGCATCCCCACGCCTTCTCCGAGGGGCTCTGACCGGACACAGGTGCGGGGCCGGGGCAGCCCGGGTCACGCAGCAGGCGAGCGATCAGGTTGGCTGCGCCTGCGCCCCCTTCGGCCGGGCGGTCCCTGAAAGCCTCCGGTCAGGGGCGGGGCTGGGCCGGGAGTGCGGGCGGCAGGTCTGGGCGGAGGAGCCCGCGGCGCGCAAAGAGCCCAGACCTCAAAGCCCACGGGACCACGACGCCCGCCTTCCGCGAGGCCTCAGCCCCGCCCCCAAGCACCTGGCCCCGCCCTGCATCTGGAGGGGAGCCAATCAGCGCTCGCCCTGAAAGTAGTTGCCCGCCTACTGCGGCCCTTCGGCGGTCTATTTTGCGCCTGCGCAGACAGTCGCCCCGCGGTGCCGACCGGGTCCTCTGCGCGCGCGCGCGCGGCGAAGCGCTCCCGTGAGGCAGTGCGAGGCGAGGCGCGGAGCGCGGCGGCGGCTGCTGAGGCGCGCGGACCGAGCTTCCTGAGGTGGGCGGCGGCGGCCTCGCGGTCCCGGGCCGTGCGGGGGCGCGGGGCTGAGGGAGCGGCGTCCTTCCTTTGTCCGGACGCCCCTGGGACTCTCAGGGGCGCGAGGAGCCGGCGGTCGGAGTTCGCCGGGACCGGCGGCGGGGGAGGCCGGGGGGCGCCAGGGGCCCCGAGGGAAGGCGGAGGCGCCAGGGGCGGCGCCGGGGTGACGGCGGGGACCTGGCGAGTGCGGGCGGGAGAGCCCGGGACCCGGGCGGGTGTGGGGTCCCGCGCTGGCCCTGAGGCGCGGGGCGGCGGGGAGGGGGAAAGGCGGGCAGACGCCCCGGCGCCGCGCAGCCAGCGTCCCTGACGGGCCGTGCAGCGTGTCCGGGGCGCGGGCTCGGTGTGTTTTTCGCGCCAAAAGCGAAGGACAGAGACCGGCCGCCGCCGGTGAGGGTGGTGGGTGATGTCGCGGAGACGGGAGATGGCGGGGGAGCACTGCCAGGCCCCGCGGCTCGGGTCTTCCGTGCTGTCTGTCGGGGGGGGGGGGGGGGGCCGTTCCTGACGCTTCTGTCTTCCCGGCGCCAGGCGGTCCCGGCAGGCGGAGGCGGGTTCGGGTTCGGCCGCTGAGGTGAGTTGACCGCTTATTTCTGTTTGTTCCTTGGGAAGGGCCGGGAGGGAGGCTGCTTAGGGGCGCGCTGCTCAGTCTTCGTTTTGAATTGCAAACGGATCTGCTGCTCTGGGCACTGCAGGTGTTTGGGCCGCTCTGCTTTGCGAAAACAGGAGGTTTTCGTGATCACATGCTTAAGTCACACCCTAATGCTTATTCTGTCTCTTTCCCATCAAACGTTTCCGATGCTGCTGCCTCTAGGTCAGCTGTTACCAGTGTCGTTGGATATTTATCTATTATACCTTGTCCTGTCACAGTCGCCTTCGTTGTGGTCTAACACTTGTTTTTTTTCTCCCCTAGGATAAATCATTATATATGTTCTAAAAATATTTCCCCCTTCTCTATGGACTTAACATAAAATTAGCGCTGTTTGTATTTGGATTTATTTTCTAAATGTCAGTACCGTAAACCCATATCAGTTACAGAAAACTTGGCGAGTTAAACCATGAGTTGCGGAAAAGACTTTGTGGAAACATTAAAAAAAATTGGTTATCCCAAAGCTGATGTTCTTAATGGGGAAGATTTCGACTGGTTGTTTGAGACTGTTGAAGGTGAGTCATTTTTGAAGTGGTTTTGTGGGACAGTGAATGAACAGAACGTGTTGTCTAAAGAAGAATTGGAAGCTTTCAGCATTCTTCAAAAATCCGGCAAGCCCATCCTAGAAGGAGCAGCATTGGATGAAGCTCTTAAAACCTGTAAAACTTCTAATTTGAAGATACCTACCTTGGATGACAATGACCTAGAGAAATTAGAGGATGAGGTTCGAACTCTGCAAAAATTAAAGAACCTAAAAATTCAGCGACGTAATAAATGTCAGTTGATGGCTTCAGTAACTAGGCACAAATCTCTGAGGTTAAATGCTAAAGAAGAAGAAGCCACTAAGAAGCTGAAACAGAGTCAAGGTATTTTAAATGCTATGACTACTAAGATTAAGAATGAACTTGAGGCTCTAACAGACGGAGTTGCAAAATTGATGGCGTTCTTCATACCTTCCAATCTGAGTCAAGGGACAAATCTTCCAGTGTTTTTATCTCAGATTTCCTTGGAAAAATACCTCAGCCAAGAAGAGCATTGCACAGCAGCATTGACCTCATATACCAAAAAACAGTTCTTTCAGGGTATACAAGAAGTATACGAAAGTTCAAATGAAGAAAATTTTCAGCTTTTTGATACACAAGCACCGTCTATTTATGATAACCAAGAAGTCCTTGAGGAGAGACGGCTAGAGATGGCTAGGCTGCAGCTGGCATACATTTGTGCTCAACATCAGTTAATTCACATGAAAGCACGTAACTTGAGCATGAAATCAAGTATAAAATGGGCAGAGGAGAATCTTCATAGCTTCACTAGCAAAGTAAGTATGAAAAATTAGGCTGGATTAATATTGTAATTTTTAGTAATGGATATAGTAGATATTAAAGTGTCTTAGGGCTGGAACCGGTTTGGCTCAGTGGATAGAGCGTCAGTCTGCGGACTGAAGGGTCCCGGGTTCGATTCCGGTCAGGGGCATGTACATTGGTTGCTGGCACATCCCTGGTAGGGGGTGTGCAAGAGGCAGCTGGTCGATGTTTCTCTCTCATCGACGTTTCTAGCTCCCTATCTCTCTCCCTTCCTCTCTGTAAAAAATCAATAAGTTTAAAATAAATAAATAAATAAATAAATAAATAAATAAAAATAAAGTGTTTTAGGAAGGAGGGAGGCTATAGGAAGTCATTACATTTTCTTGTTCAGTGCTTAGTTGTGATGTGTGTTAGTGTTTCATACAAATAGATCCACATATTAGTGGAGGGCAGAAATAGTAATTATAGCCCCAACCACATTATCTAACTAATTTTATTTTTACTTTTTATTTTTTTAAATCAGCTGCCTCCTGCACACCCCACCAACTGGGGATGTGCCCGCAACCAATGTACATGCCCTTGACCGGGATCGAACCTGGGACCCTTTAGTCCACAGGCCGACACTCTATCCACTGAGCCAAACCGGTTTCGGCTATCTAACTAATTTTAAACAAAAGTACTTTTGTATTTTGAATTTGAAATTGTGTTGATTTCAGATACTGAAATTTCCTTTTTTTATGATGTGTAAACCTTATTTTTGTGAGTAAAGAGCCTATTGCTGTATTATTGTATTCTACCTTGTTTGCTCTGACTAGAATATAGTGCTAGTGAAGTCAGAGATCCAGTTCAGTGGACTGGAAACCCTGATTCTTTGTTGAGAATGTATAGCTGTATTGCAGATAGTTGTTTGCTGTCTTGGACATTTTGCTTTATTGATAATTTAACCACTAGATAGTTGAGTAAAAATACAACTTTCTGAGCCCTGACTGGGTAGCTTAGTTGTTTGGAACATTGCCCCATGTGCCAAGGTTGCTGGTTTGGTCCCTGGTCAGGGCATGCACAAGAATCCACCAATGAATGAACAGATATGTAAAACAAATTGATGTCTCTCTGTCCTCTCTCCCTCTCTCATCTCCCTCCTCCTCCTTCCTCCTTCTCCCTTCCTCTTTATAAAATAAAATAAAATAAATTTAAAAACAAACAACTTTCTGAAACTGAATACCAGTTACTACCACTGACAAACTTTGGAATAATGTATGAAGTCCTGTTAAAGACTTGTTAGAATTGTTAAAATCAGCTGACAAACTAGGAGAATAGCTAGTGATTAATTTTGAGAAAAATTGAAATAGCATACATTTGCAATTAGCGAGTAGTGTGCTAATAATTTTTATTGACAAGAATGACAAAATCCCTATTTTTACAAACATTACTGTGTGTGTGTGTGTGTGTGTGTAAATATATAATATATATATAATATATATTATATAAGGTAGTAATAGCATTAAAGTTTAGCCGTTCATACTGGCTTTACCCTTGACTTGGTCCACATTTTTTAAACTGTGATTTTGGCTTTTGCTAATAGGAAATTGTTCATTATTGACCATATTATCTGCTAATTTAAAATGGAAAGTGAAAATAATTTTAAAACTATTTGAACTTTATACTTACAGTTTGAAATATAATTGCTTTCTTTGTGTAGGTTCTTGGGAAAGATGAATTGGATGCTAAAATTTCTAGCTTGAACATTCAGATTCTGAAACTCAAAGAACAGATTACTCATATAAAAGACAAAAGTTTGCCTGCTGTGGTAAAAAAGAATGCCCAGTTATTGAATATGCCAGTTGTGAAGGGAGATTTTGATCTGCAGATTGCCAAACAAGACTATTATACAGCAAGACAAGAATTCGTTTTAAATCAGTTGATAAAGCAAAAGGCATCGTTTGAACTTCTGCAGTTATCATATGAAATTGAAATGAGAAAGCATTGGGACATACATCGTCAACTTGAAAAATTGGTTCATGAACTTAGTCAAAGTAATACGATGCTCCACAAGCAATTAGAAATGCTAGCTGACCCATCAGTTACTCAGCAGGTAAATCCAAGGAATACCATTGATACCAAGGATTATTCTACTCACAGGTATGCTTCATTGTTTCTGTTGTAAGTAATTATTTTCCCTTTAGTTTTGTAAAATACTAGAGAAAGTTTGAGTGGAAATTGTGGAAGGTTAAAAAATTCTTTGCACTCCATTTTTGGCCTTTTTTTCTCCGACTTTTATATGCCTCCTTTTCCTTTTTTAATTACTTGCTCCCTTTACCTTTCAGGTTAAATGTGAAAGTAGCTTCTGTAGAGCTGAGAGAATTGGGTTGGAGGAATTAATATATACCAGGTCTTAATCATCTTTAACACCATTAGATGCCTTATTACAGATTGGGGGCAGGAGTTATAGCAGGAAGTTTGAATTCAGCTTATGTACAATGGGTATTGCTGGATAGAGAACTGACTGCATTTGGAGAAGGTAGCAGTAGAGAGGGAAGAGGACTTCAATTTTGTGGCAGGTGAAATCACTGAGAATGAATGCTAGCTCCCCACTTTTTCTGGATGTAAGCAATAGATGATATGGATACTGAAATTGGAAGGCTAAAGTAGTCAAAGGCCTTGCCTGGCCAGTGTGGCTCAGTGGTTGAGTATCAACCTAAGAACCAGGAGATAATGGTTCAGTTCCC